ATGCATTATGTAAGATTGGATAACGAGCTGATTGTTCTTGCTGTAACAGTTTAAAATAGCTGATGCAAAATAAAAATATATTGACAATTTCAGTCAATTTTCTTTATTAAGAGCAAATTTATGAAGGTTTGAAGTTTTGACAAGATATGACAGATTGTAAAGTCTCGGTTTTCAGTCCTTTTATTGTCCGGCGTCTATTTTAACGTTAACTAATTGTATGGCGCGGATGGTATAATCAGTTCAAAATATCAGCTGTCCGAGGGGCTAGAGAGTTGATTATGGGTTTAGCATGTAAATAGATATCTAAATAATTATGCATACATTTGAAGCCCGAAAAAAACGTGCAATATCCAAATGTAGCTGTTACATAATGCATCTTTAAATGTCTAAATGATAGTTTATCTAACATTTGAAGTCAGAAAAGAAAGAAATGCAATAGCAAAATTTAGCTCTGGCATATTTCATCTTTAACTGAAAGGTGCGATATTGTACAAATTTTATAATTGTTGACATATTTAATTACAGGGTAACAACAGTCGATTTAATTTAACACTAGCAAATTACGGCCAATATTTTGAGGTTGAGCCGTCAACAGTATTTAGCAATACACAGGTATTCATTAGGGTGAAAAATTCTTCCATCTTGGATTATGAAACTAGATCATACATAACATTAAAGGTTAGCTTTATTTTTGTATTACGATTTTAGTTTAAAGGTTAAAGGTACGTTCCTTTCAAACCAATGTTCATTTACATAACCATGTATTTGAGGTTATACCCAAGTTATGGAATAAATATTTTTCCTTATCAAAACAATCAAAAGTACATAGCTTACTGGGTATGCATAATGCATATAAGTAAAGTAGGATATTAAGCCTCACTTCAATTAAAAAGGTGATTATACCCCTGCATATTTGTAACGCTTGAACTACTGCTCGATAAAATCCTTATACGGCATTTAGTAATTGAACATATAATATATAAAAACACAAATTTATATAGAAAACAATCACTGAGTTTATTTCACACTACGTTTCAACAAGTTCCTTTTGTCTTTCTTACTTGAGAACGACAAGGGGAACTTGTTGAAACGTAGTGTGAAATAAACACTGTGATTGTTTTGCATGTAAATTTGTGTTTTTATATTACTCTCGATATTTATACCATTTTGGCAGACGCAAGTCAAATATTACATAGCCGTCTTCTTCCAGGATCATTTTCGTTTACATCGCTCTTTACATTCTGAGCATGTTTATTAGTCATGATCAAAATGTGGATCGGCACGTTCGTTCGTTTCTGGGGTTTTACGTCCACTTCCACCTAAGGTGATATCGTAGACAAGGATGTTTCCTAAGAAACTTACTGGAGGAAGCCGTATGGATTATGCTTTGGTCCAGTTTAATTTGAGACACAGTGTCTTAGCAGGGAATGCCCAAGTTAAAAATCTCATCGAAAGGAGCGGAGAAAGTTTTGGGGTAGAAAAGGGGTGGCGAGCGGGCGCAGTCTGGTCCGCTTGGCCATAAATGTTTCGATCGTTGTTTTGGGTGGGTAGGGGTAGGTAGGACTGTCAGCCGGGCCCAAGGGCCCCGCCGCCTGTCCGACCTAGGTTCAGGGGTGCAGCGATGCTTCCGGACCAGAACCAAGACAAAAAACGGCCCCCCACAGGATACCCGACATCCCTTCACTTAGGGACGTCCGACTAGCAGTAGCCCTCGGGATGATCACTTATGGATCCCGTCCGTTGGGTCTTGGGGTTGGCCCCCAAATCTTCACAGAGTAGAACACTCTTTTCGTCTCTGCGGGGTCACATCATCATATCAATGATACCGATCTCACACACGAATTCGTAGATTAACTCATAGATTTCGTGTTTGCTTACTTTTGGAAAAAGTAAGTTCGGAACACTGAGAGCCGTGTTAAGGGAACTCAGTTTATCCGTGAGAGGTTTCCTTTCAGCTGAGAGGCGAGCACAGTCTACTAGAATATGGGTAGGAGACACGTCTGAGCCACAGCTGCACCTTATAGGCTTAAATGTGCGATATCTGAGTGTTTCTTTCACCTTCAGCTTTGTTATTAACCGGCAGATTTTCCTGCTGGGATCTGGATCGGCACTACTGCGTAGCCAATTTGTATAATATGTAGTCTTAAAGACCACTTAAGATCAAAAATCTATATTTCATGTAAGTATAGCCCATGGTTACTGTATCAACTTTACGGGAAGTTCACACCAATCTGATTAAAATTAAGTCCGCTGTTAACGTTTAAGTATCCGACACGCCAAAACGCTTTTCGATTTTTCAATTACGACCTTAATCGGGTTGATTGGCTGGTGACGTCACAGGCACTACACATAGGATATACATTATCTATACAATATCTCACCGTATGTACAATATAGCACTATCAATACACACGGCAACTGGACAAGCGTCTATTGACGTCCAATTATCACGTGACTGGCCTAATCATAATCACCGAATTATCGTCTTTCATTGGTATAGATTAGACATTTGTGATTGGAATATTTTAGAGTGAATTTAAAATGCCATATCATGCCGTAGATCAAATTAAGCTGCCTTTGTCTAAATAGGCCACGTGTCAAATGAAGATGACTCAAGAAATTAGCGCATTTACCGGTAATTTGGATAACCCCATAATACTTGATATCCCAAACTTAAGTACAGAAATACAAATGGTGCCAGTCATTTGTCGATATATTCATTATTAGCTATATATAATAATAATAACCATTTCTATACATAAAGAACAACTACAGTGAATATGGAATTTTCCGATGACTATGCATAACATGTACAATAGATCGCACTCATTTCTCTGCCAATCAACGCTTGGTATCTTATTATCATGTACCGTTCCATGTACTACGGGTGTAGTAAATGAGGTTAAACTTCGCCGCGAAAATTGCACGGGATCATTCGTGGAGTTCCTGGTGCCGTTTGGTGAGTGATTAAACTGTCAATGCTGACGTTGTTGTTGTTTATTACAAATTTAACGTCCAATACATAATGCATGATATTATGGACAGGTTGATTTGATTAAGTTATTTACTTAAATAAAAAATAGAAGTTAGGTAAAAACACTAAATAATAAAAAGTTCTTGTATATCTAAACGTCACTTTAAAACAGATTTAAAATAATTAAAAGTTCTTGTATATCTAAAAATTACTTTAAAACACGGTTTTAAAAATGGCTTGAAAATCGTTGTCGTGGGAAGAGAGGGCGGGTCATCTTCTCACTTTGTCATAATGAAAGTTAAAATAGGAGATGCAATTGTAAAATACTTTTATTATAAAGAAGATAACCGATGTTAGACATTATAACCTAATCGTATCAAAAACGTTAATCCATCCATCAATTAAATGTTGTTTAAACGCCAATCAACAAACAATACGAGGCTACTTGATTAAAAAAACACCGGTGAGCAATAATTATTGGGTATATAGTATTTTTAAACAACTTATTAGTAAAACTTAATTTATTTTATACAATTAATGTGTGTGTGTATGATTCTACCAATAGTTCGTTCGTGAGGTATTACATACACGTTCCACTGAGAGTGATGTCTTTGATCTGGCCGGCGTAAAAAAAAGATAATTACCTAATCAACATTCTTAATCCCACTAACACTCACTGCTAACACCAACTTGAAATTAATTTATGACCCATGCCTGTATAACTTTTATAGTCGGATTGATTAATTAATGACAGATATTAACGACACTACACTTTATGTGGAAAAGCTAAAACCACATAACTGGACCCGTATATTTTTTACATATTAAAAGTGTTCGTCCAATAAGTTCCATATTGTAAAAAATTAATTAAGAGTTCAGGACTTCAAAGTTTAAAAGTTGTAGGCACTCTAAATTGGATCTTAAATTAAAATGAATTACAAAACAAATTATTCCGTAGTCAATTGTTTTATTTAATTAGAGGGATTAAGGAATCCTTCAGGCGTTAAAGAATACACACGCCGGCTGTATATAGGTAATTAAGGAATAAACATTCCGAATATGCATTCGGTCACTGTGACGTCACTGGCGCCTGAGGGGATTAAGAGTGTTTTCGATAATTGGCAAAGCCGTTTTTACGGAAGGTCTATTTTTACGACTTTGAATGAAGATAACTGAATTAATTTCAACCAGATTGGCGTGAACTTGCCGTAAAGTGGATATAGTAACCATTGGCTACACGTGTCTCAAATCTTTCGGGACCATCTTATGTGCACTTTAAGTATTCATTTTATGGTTTTGTTGTTTATTGACCCATTTCTTTTATACAATATCCATATTCATTATTGTATTAAGCAGAGGTGCCATTCATGCATGTTCCCCATCCCTTTCAAATTTTGAATAAAATATTATTTTAGAAAAAAATGGTCAAATTTACTGATAATATTACTTCTTGTGTTATTTATTGTGAGTTGACTTACTACAATAGTACTATTTTGTTTGTTAAAGTTAGTGGCACGAGAGATCTACACAACGGACAAAAAAAGTAGTACGGCAACAATTAACATGACTATTATAAATGTCAACGATCACGACCCGGTTTTTATATCAAGTACACCAGATTTATACATCCCTGAAAATAGCCCCAATGGGACTTATATTTCTACGATAGAGGTATGTTATTAAAAAAAAATCTTCAAAATCATAATAATTTGTCTGGCTGATAATTTTAACGAGTTTCAGTATTCACCAAGGATATTATACCATTGTGAAAGATAGTTTTAAAGTTATTTTCTTAGCTATAAATTAGACTAAATATCGGCAACGTTACCTTTTTGTGATCACTTCGTTTTATTTAGGCTCGGACGTCACAGCTATTGGTGACCGTGTGTTCGTTGTTTGATAACCTATGTTTGAAATTGTTTGTATTTTTACAGGCCACAGACGAGGACTTTGGCCCAGTTAGATATTCATTATCTGGAAATGTGTAAGTCAATTACAACAACTTGTATTTTATGAAATAATGATAATGGCAATGTAAATTTCGGCTTCCATTCAAGTGGGGGAAAAGGAAGCAAATTATGCGTTAGTTATTCTTTTAGAAATCACACTGTGCATTACATTGCGTTTGTCAAAAATATCCCCCCCCCCCCTCCTACCCTTTGTTTGTGCTGTCCGTTAGAACGTCTTTGAAATGGCCTCATCCGAATCTGGTTTCCTTTATTTACCGTCACCAGTAAAATGTTTGGCATTAGAGTATTATGGATTTATTTGTATAACAGACTGTTTAACGAAAAGATGTACTACTCTACATGTCTAGACCTTGGCAGACCAGGGTGGCGTCCTTACTACGCTGCTACAGCGACGGGAAATGGTCTCAGAGGGCGTCAAGATCGCCATAAGCGTGGTAAAAGCATGGTAAAAGCATGGTGGAAACGCCAGAAATCGTGCTGTAGTCTCTATGTTCGCCAATAATCGCCGAGCCATGGCGTTTATTTTGAGCATGTTAAAAACAAACGCCAAGGTTCTGCGATCTGCCCTGGAAAGCTGTGAGAAAGCGACTTTTTTCAAGTTTGTAATTTTATGGGACATTTTCTCGTCGCCGTACGGTCACAGCAGCGCAGTAAGGACGCCAACCCGGTCTGCCGGGGACATAATAGATACAATTTATATTTTGTAGTTTTCGAATAGATGAAACCAGTGGAAATTTAACAGTTTTAAAGTCATTGGACAGGGAAAAGAAGTCACAATATTTTTTAACAGTAGAGGCTGTGGATACTGGAGGACGAAGAACAACTAAGTTTATTACAATCAATATTAACGACACAAATGATAATACTCCTTTATTTCAAAGAAATGAATATGAAGGTTTCGTTAATGAAAATAAGAACTTCACTCGTAATGTTCAAATTACAGTAAGTGGCTGAGTCGTCTACCGGTAATACTCGCACAATAAATGAACAATTTATTATTGCAGAGCTTTAACCACATCATTTTGAAAGCTAAATACATAATTACCGTTGTTTTCCAATATCTAGATTTTCATATTATGCTTATCCCAAAGATATATAGTTTCTATTTACAACTTTATATTCCTTCTAGTTTGAAAATGTCTTTCAATCTATGATTAGATATTTAGGACCTAGTTTTCAACAGATAAAAAAAAACGCGCCATTTTATTCTTCCGGAACATATAATATCACTTTTCATTTGAGTAGTTCAAGTACACTCTGAATGATTCTAATTTTACTTAGGCTACTGACCTTGATCTAGAAAATACACCCAACAGTAGAATCACATACAGTATAGAATCTTCAGAACCTAAAGGACTTACAGCCAATTTTACATTGGATCCAAATGATGGGACATTGTATCTTGCACAGTATTTGGATTATGAAAGTATTAAATTCAAAACGAGCGGCACGATAAAATTAAACGCAGTGGCCAAGGACAACGGAATTCCAACAAATTTGTCAAGTAACACTACAATAATTCTATACGTAACGGTAAGTTGACATTTATAAATTTTATCATTATAAATTATATGGTCCATATAGTTCATTCTACGCGGATGTTTTTTTTATCATTTTGTTGTTTGTGAATTAGTCATTTTTAATTACTTTCGCATTGTCTTCTGAGAAATGTTTTATGTGTGTTTTTTGTTACATTAGAAATCGGACTTTAAAATATTCATTGTTTCCTAAATATAGGATATCAGTATCCCTTATTTTCACGGTAAAGATAACAATATCGATTGAAATGGGCCAAAACTGAATTCTTATTCGTGTTTCTAATTTCGAATAGTATTGATTAATATTGAGTTAGGGGTTCAACTCCTTTAGTTTGCTTTTTGTTGTTTTTTCACTTAGGATGAAAACGAAGATGCACCAACATTTAACCAGTCATCTTATATAGTATCGATATCAGAAAATGCGAAAATAGGTAAACATTTGGCTTAAAGTATCCTCACCTCATATTGTAATCATACAATCTCATGCTAAAACTTTAGGAAAAGCATGGTTTGGGATTTAATGTCTTGTAATATGAATTTTACCCGTGCAACAATACAATTGCTAGAACCCCAACTGTCACGTGATCTTTTTGTCACTGCTAATTTGGTACCTTGCATGATTTTTCGTCCAATCCGAACGATTAGCGGCAGTGAAATATGGAAAGCAGACTCGAGAAATCTTTTCGGAATTTGAAATCTCTAAATTATGATTATGAGTGCAGTCTGTAAATAAAACTGTCGATTGAAAATTTAATAGAACTCACTATAATACATTAGTGTTGTTTATGACAAAGTATATTCATTAGTCCCGAGGACAACGAATATTTTTCCTGGACAAAACAGCTCCTTATTTGTATGCTCTGTCAACGTCCTTACGGAAATCCTTATGTCTTAGGTTGAGGGGGGGGGGGGGGTCACCTTGTATTTCAAATATACAGAATCGATAATCGATAAGTGGTGGACAGAGACAGTATTTCCGATAAGACACAGTGTAGACTGGACATGAGAATGGTTACTATTTTGCCAAGACAAATATTTATTGTAGTCATGCAACGACAATATAATCTGGAAGGATCGAGACTATATATTTATTTTAACTATCCGTCATTTTATAGATGGTGATCTGATAACAGTGAAAGCTGAGGACCTTGATGCTAGTTCACCAAATAAAGATGTGTTTTACATCATCAAAAGTGGTGGATCAGACAAATTTTCTATAAACAGTAGTAGTGGTGAGATTAGGGTAGCTGGGTCTTTAGATAGAGAAACAGAAACACATTATGGTCTGGTAATTGAAGGTGTTGATAGAGGAACACCAGCTCTAACTGGTACCACTACTGTTTCTGTACAAGTCACTGATATTAATGATGAATCTCCCACCATTAATCCTTCTTCTGATCGAGTTTCAATAAATGAAACTAATCAACTTGGTCTTCTTTACACCATTAAAGCCAATGATAGTGATTCCAAGGCTAATCTGAGTTATACCTTGTCAGATTGCTATGGTTACAATGAACGACAGGAACGGATTAATTCAACTTATTTACAGGTAAACTACTTTGTCCGGAGTTCTTTTTTTTTACAATTCAAACATTGTTGTTTATTTGACATATGTGACCATTTTGATGCAGTTTTACAATTCATGAAGTTATATATAGATTCCCGTTGACTGTATTTACCACTGAATCACTGATATGGAAATAAAGGCCATGTTAATACGGAAGCTGTTCATGTCGGGTCCAGTGTTTATCATTGATGGTCATGTGTACGTATAATGTTTATAAATAATGATCATGACGTATAATGTTTATCAATGTTGGTCATGTGTACGTATAATGTTTATCAATGTTGGTCATGTGTACGTATAGTGTTTATCAATGATGATCCTCCCCTGCTCCATATCAAAACCCATAACACTTCTAGTGGTATGCAGTGTCGAACAGCCTTTAATTATATATCAACTATATACATTATATACAAGCAACATTAATAACTTACAATGATTACTATCTTACACCACTACACAGACATAACTCTATGTCCTACACCGTACCTTATATACAAACATTATTATAATCTACAATCATTACTCTATATCTTACATCACTACTCAGACATAACTCTATGTCTCACAACCTTCCTCCATCACCGACAGCCCCGCCAACCAGAAAAAAACCTAAAAATACCCATTGGGAAAAATAGGAAATCTGTGTCCGCCTTCAAGCAATAACTGTCTCCGGAGCTATACGCGGACGTGTACAGTTAAATATTTAACAGTATAAAATTGCAATTCCATTACAAATTGATAAATAAAATATCAGAATTATCCCAATAATTATATATTATATCTCACAACGCACAGTACATCAGATTACTCAGTTGTAAAAATAAAAACGTCTGTTGAATCTGGCGACTTCGACCTGAATGACTCCGTAAGTCTATTTACTGACAAATAGTACTTCATACCCCATATATCACTACGCATATGGAGAGAAATTATTTCCCTCCTAATTCAGTTCCCTCAACCGCAGGAAAATATATTTCTCTTCCTCCCCTGCTCCATATCAAAATCCATAACACTTCTAGTGGTATGCAGTGTCGAACCGCCTGAATATCAAAGAAAGGCCCAGTATCATAAATCACAATTTAAATTACAGATTCGCCTTATAAACCCAAACTCAAAGACACGCTTAAACGTTGTTTCAAATCGTCCTTGACATAACCATCTTTAGCATTTTCAGATTTCCATCTCCCATGACGTTTGAACAAACGATCAGGAATACCCCTATTTGCACATGCTGTCGCGCCTCCCGCACGCAAACTATGTAACCCATATTTTGAACAATCTTTTACCCCTTGAAACGCTTCTTTAAACAATTCTAATAATCTAGTATAACTAAGTGCTCTATTAATACTCTTAATACAATAACCCGTTGAACACCTACACAAAGCCTGAAATAAATACATGTCTTCATCTTTATTTATCCCAGCCCAATCCAAATAGCGCTCTAAATTCTTAACAGGGCATAATTTGTTGCCCGTTCGTGCTATTACAACCCATGCACCATCTCTATAAATATCAGTCTTACTTTTCTCAAGAAAAATAGACAAATGAGTGTCGTCAAAGCTTAAATCCGAAGTAGATAGGTTTAATAGTTCGGCACTACTAAGAAAACCAATGTACGCCAACAAACAAGCACAAATTATTCTTTGTTTATACGCACACCCGGAAACAAATGTTTTATCATACATACATTCTAAATGTTCTGCGGTAACAGGAAGCTTTTTATTAACAGGTTTCGCTAAACGACGTTTCCCAGCTTGTAACACATTAATCACTAATTGAGAATTTGTAGGACATGTCAAATTAGCTAACGAATGAGCCCACTTTAAACTATATAAAGCATGAATCACCGGACTTGCACTATTCTTTTCTTGTATCAAAGATGTTAAATATAACGCAACATGTAAAGGATTAGCAGGTAAAACATTCCCTTGCACATTATTACATCGAAACCAATTCTTCCGGGCTAAATAACCTCGATAATATTTCACAGTTGTAGATTTCGGTTAATAACTCCGGTAATACATTCACAGATGACGATAAACTTACTGCTTAGTCGTCTAACTCTGTCCCATAAGCAGTTCTAAAAATATTTAAAAACCAGCAATAATTAAAATTATAACATGACAATAGTGACATACAAAATATAATATTATTATATGTGATTGGCATCAAAATTACTTTATCGACCACATCAATAAACAGAAAAATCTCAGTTATACTATAAATATCACATCACATAATCAACCATTAGTTATCTCAACTAATCCAAAGTCACCTCGACTTATCTCTAGCTTTCTCAAGCTACAATTACCGTATCTAACTACGACAGTCAATTCTTAATGCCAACATCCGAAACGTTAAATCTTTCGTGACAAATATGCTATCATAATGCAACGAGGACTTATAAAACTTTTTTTCCCCGTGGTAAATCAACCCAATCTTTAAAAACTCGCCGATTTCCATAACTGAATAATTACTGTACCATAAGCTTTACATTCAACCACATATTTCAGGACACGTGATATCAAACACACGGGTGGTACAATAAAACAATTTCTACCCTGCCATGATAAAGAAAATGCATCTATTCCTGGGGAATTTGGACTCCAATATCTAGAATAAAATACATCACACTTATGATTATGTTCTGATGCAAATACATCAATTTCGTAAGGTCCCCATATATTACTAATATATTTAAAAATCCCATCTCCAACGGCCCAATCATCATAATCAACAATTCAACTTAGACAATCTGCTCTAAAATTCCCTGTTCTAGGTATCCATTCTATCTCTAGAATAATTCCGTTTGCTAAACAAATGCCAAATATCTCAAATGCAATACATTGCAATTCTGTCTTCATACTACCTTTCTGAACAATAGAAATCACACTCTGATTATCTGAAAACCATTTCAACCTTTTGTTTTTTAAGATATGTGCTATAGATTTAAGAATACGTCGAACGGCTTCTAGTTCTCTCCAGGTAGAGCTCTTAACCGCTTCCTCAGCAGTCCAAAAACCATGAACAACATCCCGAAAAGCTTGTACACAATAGCCCCCACCCTTCATTACTAGCATCTGAGTACACTATTCGTTCACAGCCAGGCTGAAAATTTAAAACTTTAGAATTAATTTTACTTATATTTTCCTTCCAGAAAAATAACTGTTGAATACTCTGTTCCGAAATACATACTTTAGAATCCCAACTAGATCCATTTAAAATATCAATAGACAATGATCGTGTCATGATTTGGGAAATACTTCCAAGAACAATAGACATAGATATAATCTGACCAACAACACTCCCTATCTTTTTCACAGCTACTGCCTTATTCAATATACATTCACGCTGAATTTGACCAATACATCGCAAAACTTTATCTAATCGTCTTTGTGGAATTCTCAAATTCGCATTTTCAGAATTTATCACCACTCCTAACCAGAGTACCTCTTGTACAGGCTCCCAAGTTGACATCTCATTTTTAGGAACAAACCCACTAGCTAAAAGATCTTTCTTAACACCTTGACTAACCTTATGTGCCATATTATAATCGTCATGTACACCAAAACCATCATCGATATACATAACTATATATTTACCTTCACTTCTCCATTTCTTAACCAGAACTCTGCATAATTTAGTAAATATATAAGGTGCTGTACTTAAACCAAACGGCAGCACCAAGAACTTATATTCATCACCCATGAGAAACCTAAAAACTGAGTGTGTGCATCACAAATCTCTACATGACGATAAGCAGCATGTATATCATATTTGAACATCCAAGACTTTTCCTTAACATATAACAATGCTGTACGAATATCCTCATATTTAACCGTCTGCTTGCCGACAAATTTATTAACCTCTCTCAAATCTAAAATTAATCTTTTCTTGCCATTGCTCTGAATAGACACTGATAGTGGATTAACAACTCTTGAGAGAACTTGACATCTACTCACCAGACCCCTTACCTCTAAATCTTTAATAGCCCCTTCTACAAAATCTGAATTGTCTAAGGCAGATCTATTATTTTTTTAAGAACTTAAAATCTGGAACATTATTAAAAGGAATCTTATAACCATTTTTAATAACATCTAATATATACGAATTACAATTAATATCTTTCCAGAATTTTACATTTTTTCGTAACCGGCCTTTAACTAAAATGTTAGCTTGACCCTCCTCGTATTCGAAATAATCATGCGTAAATCTTTCGACGACCGGCTGATCTAGATTACAATCATTAATATCATGAAAATACTCATCTTTTATACAAGTTGAAATCTCATCACTGTGTTGACTTAACGGTTGTGGTGTTGTTGTAAGAGTTAGTATGGGGACAGTCTCTTCTGTAATGATTAAATTCTCCACAGTTGAAACAAGACCCTCTGTTTTGTTGGGGACGAAAAGAATAGTTCCTACCCCCACCACCGGTTGCAGGAACACAAGGAGCCAAGTTAGATGAACTTGCTGTCACCGAACTGCCATTGTTATCATACAATCTCCTTCTCTTCGGAACGGAAGATCTACCTTTTAACTCCTTCCTCTTCTTCAACGCTCTCTGTTCAGTTCTACTAATCCTTCTCTCATCTTCCGAATCACTGGCCAAGGGATTAGCTACATACTGGTTGACAGTCTCCCAGCCACCTGCAGACGAATCAGCTATTTTAATCAATTTATTTCTTTCATTTAGTTTACTCAAAACCCCAACTAGTCAACCATCTACAATCTCTCTGTCGTCATTATTAACTGCATTTATAATATGTTGTATCTTATCTACCAGTTCTACGTTAAAACCAAATTGAATCTTATTTCCCTTAAACTTCCAGTCATGATCTTGATCTGTCTTGATCTTCTTCACGTCAGATGAGAATTTCTGCACAACCCCTTGTAATTCTGCCCGTAACATATCAAACCTCTTTTCTGTCTCGATTCTTTGATTTTTCACTTCATTTAAAATGTCAGCTAGAGATACAGTAGACTGATTGTTGTGTTGATTCATTAGGATATCGTAGATAAACACCTATCAGTCGTAACATACACGTAATGACAACAAAACAGTGTTCAGTTGTAAAAACGTCTGTAGAATCTGGCGACTTCGACCTGAATGACTCCGTAAGTCTATTTACTGACAAATAGTACTTCATACCCCATATATCACTACGCAAATGGAGAGAAATTATTTCCCTCCTAATTCGGTTCCCTCAACCGCAGGAAAATGTATTGTACGTATAATGTTTATCAATAGAGACTTTTGGCAAGCGTAAATTTCTGGTCCGTATCGCGTATCCGTATGGATTTTGCGTTTGACGTCATCAATGTGTGTGTATTTCTCATACGTGATACGGCACACGGATATGGCAGCTCGTATCGGACAGCTTTCACACGGAAAAGGTCCGTATAACATTGTCGTCTTTTTTGCTACTTTTAGACGCTGAAATGTTGTATCATAGCGTTTTTATGAATCTTTGTGTATTCTAGAACACGAAGGTGTATATATGATGTGATTTTAACCACGATGGTTGATCTACGTGCTAAATTTAGGGAGGCGGAACCTTGCAAATATGAAAATGGTTTTATTCTGTGGTAAAGGGGGTATAATCTTCCTGAAATAATACATTAGTGAAACAAAAATTACAGTCGAGTCGAAGTCGAAGATTTTTAATAAGATTCGACATTATTATTTTTTTTTTAATAACTCAGCGACTGTCCAGCGATTTCACTCCCTCTGGGAAATTGTAGGCTAGCACTTGACTAGTACTGATGGTGATCTTGATAGATATCTGCCATCATGCTGTAATAGAGCCAAGCTGCCAAAACTACGATACGGATACGTGATACGGATGGGAAAATTCCGCCAAAAGTCTTTAATGATGATCAATGATGATCATGTGTACGTATAATGGTTATCCATAAAAAATATATTTCGTGTTAACCTTGACTTCTGATTTAAATTCAGGACTTACTGGAATTACATGAAACAACCGGAAACATAGAATTAAAGAGAGATTTAGACAGAGAGACAATACAACAAATAATATTAAATATAAAAGTTACTGATGTTAATGGCCCCGGGGTACAGACAGCTACAGGTACGTCATACAGGTTTATCCAATGAAATTGATAGTTGATGGCCTTGTCTTAGTCTGACATTGGCCCTGATTGTAATTTATTATATGAACTGTAATAATTGATGTCTTAATTTCGTTATGTAGGAACTGTAATAATTGATGTATTAGACATTAATGACAACAAACCAACCTTTAGTGATAACACTTTAACAACGAACGTTGCTGAAAACATGCCTGTAGGAATTCCACTCGTATTTGCTACAGAATTACAGATAAGAGACAAAGACAAGGTATAGTTAGTTTTACTGCGACACATATTGTCTTTGCAAAATGAGAAAAGTTTGAATCAAAAATAAGGGGGTGTGGGTGGTCATAAGATTTGTTATTGAGTCTATTGGCATGGTTTCGATCCCATATGTGACCATTTTTCCCACCTCTAAAGCGAATTATTGAAATAAAATTGAACCCTATGTTAGTCCCGAAATAACCTAGTTTGTATCGAGTGCGCGTTAGAAGCCCCCCACATTTCATTATTGGAAAATGTATAATAAAACAAAAGCGCATTTGGTCCCTTTTCCTTTCTAGAAGTTCCACAACTCAGTTAACCCGTCATTTTCTTCCTCCTCTAGAATTGGCTTGGTTTAACATACTTCTGTTATAGGGCCAATTTATATGTTCTAAATGGGGAAACAGTGAACAAGTCAGGTAGATTGTTTACTTTCTTTTAAACTTGTTGGAGGCGTAAATTCTGATTGCCGGGGTGACCGCGTTCCGTTAGTTCTTTTTGTTCATGGGTGTTTTAAAGACACGTTCTTATAAAATCTATTCTATTAATAGGATCAGAACAGTTACTTTTCTCTGCGTATAACAGAAAGTGAGGATATTTTTGAAGTAGTTCCAACAACAGCAAGATCCTCAGCTACAGTCTTAATTAAAATCAAAAACAATACCAAACTTGATTATGAAAAATATAAAAATTTTACAGTTAAGGTAGGTTTGAAGTAATATTCTGGATATATTTATACTTTTAAGTTCCATTTTCCACGGTTTTGTCGTGTGATTTATTTTAAGTATATTGAAAAACACGTGGTGCCACTTCCTATTTGATGTTACAGGGTGTTGTATTTCCATATGGGCAAGTCATGTATCGAACCATTAGGTATTGCATGTTGGTATAGAAATTTAGCCTCCGTTTTCGGCGCAGTTTAAGATGGATTTATATATACTCTTCAAAAAAGTAATGGATATTGAAATCCAAATACCTATGCATGTTGTGATATGATAAATAGTCATGGACACTTGACATGCTTTGAGAGTATGTTCACAGATGAAGATCTTATCGCCCCAACAGAACCACTGAGCTGCAAGTGCGACATACAATAGCGCCATACACGTGGGAGGGGGTTCATTGTCAAATTTGACACTTCAAGGAAGGGTTGATGAAAACTGCCGCGTGCTGGTTTATCCTATCCATGTTTGCTTTCCTATCGGTTCTTGCATAAGATATACTGTTTAACGTATCTTTGCTTTAGTGTTTTACGTTTAATTTGCAATGAGACGTCTTCAACATGATGAACGTCTACGTGCTATTGGCATGCTTCAAATAGGTTCTACACAGCGAGCAGTAGCCACATACTTAATGTGTCACAGTCTGTGATCAGCAGACTGTGAAACCGGTACCAACAAACACACAATGCTAATGATCGACCTCGTTCAGGTCGTCCTAGAGCCACTACACAAGCTCAGGATCGATACATTCGTACACAGGTCCTGTGAAATCGAGGACAGACGGCCAATCAGCTTTCTGTAAACTTGCACCAAGTTACAGGAATTCGAGTTACACCCCAAACGATTAGAAATCGGCTACATGCAGCCCATTTTCATGCGCGCCGACGGCGTGTTGTGCCTCCATTAACTCGCCAGCACATGGCAAAAAGGCGTCAATGGTGTAGGCAGCGTAGAAAATTGGGTAATCGTCGATGGGCGTGTGTATTGTTCTCAGATGAGTCCAGATTTGCTCTGGATTTCACCAATAGGCGTGCTCGCGTTTGGAGACGTGTAAATGAGCGTCGCAAGCTAACGTTAACGTCGGACAGCATCACAGATTCGGACGTGGGTCTGTTGTGGTGTGGGGAGGAATCACCATGACTGGCAGAATGGACTTGCATATTGTTCAAGGAAGAGTCACTGGTGTGTAATACCGTGACCACAGCCTGGCACCGATAATTCTGCCCGTGCAGGTCGACCGCGCTTGTGTCGTGAATGACTACCTCCAGCGCCATCATATAGTCCATATGCCTTGGTCAGCCATGATTCCTGACCTTTCCCCTAGAGAGCATACCTGGGAAATGATCGGGGATGTGTTCGTCAACGTCAACCGACAACACTGCAAGAATTGGCCGTGGCACTGCAAGCGGAATGGGTCAAATGGCCCCAAATCGTGATTGGACGGTTGATTAGGAGCATGCCACGACGAATTGCTGAATGTCTGAGGATTGGTGGAGCAATTACTCATTATTAAAACAAAAATCAAAAACGTCCATTTTCACTTTTGACAGTGTATCTCTTTGAGAGTGAAATGGGGCCACCCATATGAATTGTTTATGTTCATGTGTAGGCAATTGGCCCGTTATTAACATACACTGGTTACCTCTAATAAAAACAGCAGTGCATTTCCGCAGTTTTGTATTGTTTCTAAATATCCCAACTTTTTTAAGAGTATATATTCAGAAAATAATATTTGTTTGTTATATTCGGTCTTAAAATTATTTGTTGTTTTAATTGCGTTATTATTTTAGGTTGAAGCCACAGAAACAGTAACGGGTGATAGAAATAATTCTGTTACAATCAATGTAGAAGTAGAAGATGCTAATGATAATGATCCTGTTTTTACTAATAATAGTTATAATGCTCAAATACACGAAGATGCTCTTATTAACACAACAATTATAACAGTAAACGTAAGTCTTCGGAATCTTTAGACTCGCCGTCCGGTCTTGAAATGTTCTCTTTTATTTTCGTCGTGCCTTTGGTCAGTCTTCTAAAATCTCTTGTTAACACTCTTTCGATCTTGTTTAAACTTTATATACATTATGCACTTTGCTTAGCTTGCCGAATTGTGTCTACGCTCTAGTGCCAAAGTGTATGACTATCCGATCTGCATGTAATGTATGGGAATTGTTCAGATTAGTGAAATGAAATAGACTATCGAATTTAACAATATATGTTATTAATTTTGGTCCCAGGCTTCCGGCACAAAATTTCCGTTAATAACTGCTGGATTCAGCGCCTTTGAGTTAAACCTAAACTACTGCTGAGGGCACCTTCCCTCAAGGCAGTATTTATAGGTTATTAATTTCCTATATAAGTATGGCATTGGATTGGTACTGGATTCCTGAAAAACACCCATGGAGCGCCCACTTGACAAAACTGTAAAGTTGTCACAAGCTGGCAGCCTGTCTGCTCGAGTGACGAAAGGAACGCTTATTATGTGTTAATCTGATGGCTAATGGACAGCACCTAATAGACAAGCTGAAAATGGATTTTCCATCAATCAAGTCATGTGAAAAGCAAGGTGATTAAAATCAAATTTTGTAGCATGGGTTAGTTTTCTTCCTATTGAGATGTTTGGTGGTCTTTGGAGCAAACTTAGTTTGAATATGTTTTTAGTCCAAATAGTTTGTACCTGGAAAGGCATCTTTAAATGGTGACAATATAACTTGTTTTATAGGCCACAGATGCAGATTCTGGTAACTATGGTAACATAATGTACGGTTTACAAGGCGGGGAAGATAGGTAAGTGTTTATTCCATGTTGAGACCCTTTAAAGGTGCAATATGTAAGAGCTTACTGCAGGTCTTCTCTTGGGTTTCAAATTATTATTTATACATTTACTCAAATACTCAAATAGACTATCAGATTTTCGCAATTTTTAATGGATTGAAGCCCGATCGTCATTTATAATTCAATATAAAAATGGATAAACTTTGTATATTATCGCAACAAAAGTAGCAATGAAAATCGAGACTAGCTTTTCTTATTTAAACTTCAAACACTGATGACCTCGGTCAGACTACTGTAATTTGAATGAAGTGTTCATTATCTATTTTGAAACTTTTATAGCCAGAACTGTCAAAATATCAAATTAAGTAGGAATAAAAAGAGGCCCATCAATTTTTTTAGTACAGATTTTAGGTGGCGTTGGCTTGCTTTGACCATATCCCTTTTATATCATTTGTTACGATGCCGAATGGGGACAACTTTTCAACCCATCATATCTTTGTAAATACTGAAAGGAATTAAACCATTTTTAAGAATCCCTCAACTTTTAAAGGCATGTTTCTGTCTTAAACTGAATTAGACTGGCGTCATGACCAATCACTTGTATTGTGTACGAAATAGCGCGATTATCCAGCGTACTGTTCCACATAACATATTAAGGGAAACGATAAATACAAACAGCCTTATGAAAGTATTTTCTTTTTTCCTGAGTAGGTTTGGCATATGGCAAACTGGTGAAGTATATGTGAAACGAAATGATTTAGACAGAGAGAAAAAAGATGTATATTACCTCACTGTTTTAGCTGTGGATGAAAATGGTTCTGGTAGACGTCAAACGGCACCATTACAAATTAATATTAAAGATGTTAATGATAATGCACCAATATTTAAAAGAGTTTCGTATGAAGGATTACTTATAGAAGGAGAGGCTGGTTTCGAAAGACCTGTTCATGTTGAGGTATATTAAATTTAATGTTGAAACTTAGACAAGTAACTCTCGACCTTCTCTACTTCAAATTCCGGGTTTTTTATCATTCGGTATCAGAATAAAAATATTTTTGAAGCTTTTGAAAATTTTGAAAATTACTGCATTCTAAGCGGAATTATGGGTATTAATTTAAAGGGACAATAACACTCTTGCTGGCTTGACAGCTCCAGAAAATAAATAATAGCCTTATTCTAAGTATTAGATGTTTAAGTATCCTACCTGTTGTGTAAATTATCCATTAAATCCTATTTTACTTGTCCAGAGGGTTCGAAAATATTTTTAAATCAAGTCACATTTGAAAAGCTTTACGTTAGGCTTTCAAATCATTTAGTTGAATTTTTCCAATTTTTTTAAATTAGGTGTGTTAAGATGAAATTTGTATCATCAATTAATTGGAATATTGTAAAATAGTACAATTTGTTGACCAGAATAAAGATTGGGACATATTATTCAGTTACAACAAGAGTGGTATTGGGCCTTTAAAGAATAGTGTAGTCTTGATTATCCATTTATAAATCAAATTATTAAATGGCGATCGTATTTGAATCCGTTCAAAATCACAACCATCCGATAAGTATTGTCATGTGAATAAAATGAAATGAAATCAAATGGGGTTTAACATCCTATTACCATGTGAATAAATGTCTAATTAATAATTTATATAATATTTGAGGCCAAAAGAAAGATCTGCAATAGACAAATTTAGCTCTTACATAATGCGTCTTTAAGTGTTCAAATCAAAATGTGAACAAATGTTGTATTGAACTTTAAGTGTTCAAATCAAAATGTGAACAAATGTTGTATTGAACTTGTTTAAAAGTTATGCTCAAAATATGTCTATTTTCAAATTTATATAAACTAAAGTACATGAGTTGTTCATTGTTTTTAAAGGCTGAAGATGGTGATGAAGCCGGTACTAATAATAGTATTATAACATACCACATCAACAATAACAACAATCCTTTAATAAACAATTTTACACTGGATTCAATAACAGGAGAATTAACATTAATTGGAACAATAGATTATGAAAAACTTAATAAAACATCGAAGGGTAAAATAATTCTAGAAATTGTAGCTAAAGATCAGGGTTTACTACAGAGGACATCCAATGTTTCTACTGTATCAATCACAGTCACAGTAAGTATTTTACATGTCTACTTTCATTTTATACACCCATATTATATGTTAGGTTATAATTATTGTTGTCAACCCTGACCGTCCGTTGTTCTGTTGACAACAAGTTAGAGCTTTTGATAAATTTTATTTTCACGCGTATTCGAATTGTTCGGATAATCCTGCAGAGAAACACTATCGCACAACGATTTCAAATTGCCACCCTTGTCAAATTTGCTTTTGCCCAAAAGCTCTCTAACATGGTGTTTCATAAAGATATTGTCTGCTGCGGGTTTAAAACACGTTCTATATGAAAGTTTACTTACGTGAAGCGTTTTCACTTGGGTCCTGCGCACAAGGAAGACGCGAAAATAAAAGCTCAAAATGAAAAATTGTTTTGAATCTTTTTTTCTCATTTATAAAGAGGGGTTCGTATGTCCGCTTTAGATAGGGTTGGGACAAAAAGTATTTATTCATTAAATCTCCCAAACACATTACATTTTATGAGGCGAAATGGGCAAATTTCATGAATTTGGTTGGGGCAGGTGTGAAAATTGAGTTTTTGGGTTGGGGCAGCGGCCATTTTCAAAATTGCGGTAAAAATTATTTTTTGCCGTTATTTTCGCTATAACTTGCGATTATCACGAACATAAGAACGAAAATAGGCGTGTCATATGTCTTTTTATTCGTTTTCCTGGGTGCTGAGTTCAAAAAGTGATGTTTCGGCAAATTCCAATAATTTTATAATTTATTTTATAATTGTTTGCTATAGTATTTGTATTATTATTCAATACTGTCGTCACTTCTTGATTGGTCTTCTGCGATTTTGAAATGATAATAAAGATGTGATAATATTTTAAATGAAAATTTACGCGAGATTGTTTTCATTTCCTAGCACTTTTGCCGCTATATTGGAACCAAGTTTGCAGCCTAGGGTGACAACGAAAACATAAATTTTGTCTGATACACGGGTCCAGGTGGTATATCTGGAGGTTAGGTGCACTGACTATGCCCACCAATTTTGAACAAAATCGTATGATTCTCTAAGGGTGTCAGCCATTTTGGACTTTTTCCTTTACAAAAATGAAGGCCTAGCAGGACATTGTACTTCCCGATTTCGGAGTGCCAATTAGTGTCCATTCTCGATATCTACGGGGTCGATTTACTAAATTATTTTTTTTTCAAAACATCTCTAGGGCCAACCGTTCAAAAGTTGTAGCCACTTGAAGTTCTCAGCAACCTCATCCCCAGGAATCTGAAAATTGCTATAAACGAGGCTAGAGTCAAACAGAAACGCCAGAAACGTTCTAAAATACTTTCTATAGATTTTTAGAACGTTTCTGGAGTCTTTGTGTGACTCTAGCCTCGTTTATAGCAATTTTCAACCACCAAAACCTACAAAAAAACAAATTAATGGCATGAAAACCGAATAATTGAGAAAACATGTTTAGTTAGACATTTTGGCCGCCATATTGGATCCAAGATGGCGGACAAATATCGGAAGGTGTGAAAACTTTTATTTTTGAAATCGCCACCTCTCAAAACCTATAAAAAAAACATATTATCCGTCATGGAAAAGGAATAATGACGAACAAAGTGCCAAATTTGCCATTTTCGGTGCCATTTTGCCGCCATATTGGATCTGAGATAGCGGCCACTTATCTAATTGTACCGGACTGCCGGAACATACTTTTTTGAGCTGACAGCACACCCGAAATCCCATAAAAAAACTTATTTCATGGCATGAAATACGGTTAAATGAGAAAAAGGGGTAAAATTAGACATTTTGGCCGCCATATTGGATCCAAGATGGCGGCCAGTTATCGGATTGTGCCGAAACATCATTTTGTAAACGTAGCACCCCAAAAACCTGCAAAAAGACATTTGACACGCCTATCTTTGCAAGTTATATTGATAATATAATAACTGAAAAAATAGCTTTTTGCAGCCATTTTGGCCGCCATTTTGAAAATGGCCGCTGCCCCAACCCAAAAACTCAGTTTTCACCACTATTTCGACTAAAATCATAAAATGTGGTCTATTTCGCCTCAAAAAATGAAATGCGTTTGTAGCCGATGTCGATTGTCCCAACCCTACTTTAGATGCGTGTCGTTATTTCGACAAGGATTAGAGTCACCTGATAAATATTTGACCCATGAGCGCAAATTGTCTGTATACTTTTTTTTAAAAATATGTTGTTATATGGTAAAGAATGTTTTCTGTGAATTGACAGGACTCCAATGACAATACACCGTTATTTAATAGCAGCCAGTATTATGGAAGTATAGCTGAAAATTCAACTGCAGGTAAAGACTTGTATATAAACCATGACAGACACACATCCCACCACTCAAACAATACAAATTTATTCCTAAACAGAATAAAAACAAGGAATGCACAGAATTCATTTAAAATCAATACAATGGAAATTTGTGACAAAACATTATGTGCAGGCCTTTAATGAGCATTACATAAAACAAAAAAAGCGAATGCAAAAAATCGTTTAAAATAATAAAAAAAAAATAATATGACAATGATATAATGGAAATAATAGTGGACATAAAATAGTTCGATTCATTTTGTTCAACTGGGCCCCTTTCGCTTATCTAGTTCGTGTCCAAATGAATTAATAGTAAGTATGGCGTTGGGTACACATTAAACCTTCTTTATTTTCAGAGACACTTGTTACAATAGTATCAGCAACAGATTCTGATGGCAGTTCACCTAATAACGAAGTCTTCTATCTGATAGAAACCGGAGGTTCTGATAATTTCAGAATGGAGAGCACCACGGGGAAAATTAAAGTTGGTCCGGGAGCCCAACTAGATAAAGAAAACCTACCAAATTCAACATTTTATCTGACGGTGCTGGCTGTCGATCGTGGAAATCCACAACCGAAATCCAGTTCAGCTACTGTGATGATTCGGCTGACGGATGTGAATGACGAATCTCCAGAATTTCTTCATGACGGAGAGAGTGTAACTGTTCCAGAAAATAAAACAATTGGTCTTTCCATTTTTGCATTCAATGCGACTGATTCAGACACAGATCCGTCACTTTATTATGAAATATTGTGGGATCAATGTAAAATATACGACGAGAAAGATAAAGTTGTTCCTAGAAATAAAGTTGAGGTAAGTTATGGTTTATTAAGCTTTATGCGAGATTTACATGTATTTAGTGTAATACACTGTTAAAACTAAATGTAAAATTACAGTGAAAAATATGTAATTTCTTTAACATAACGCTGTAAAAACACCACTGCATGTTTTTATACTATAAATTTACTATATTAGTGAGGTAACTTGGGATTACTGTAAAAAAAAATTGCTAAATTAACAATAAAAGTGTAGTTTTACAAGTTAGAACTGTATTTTTATTACATGTAACCCGTATTGATACAACTATGTTGGTTAAAAGTACATGTATGCGTACGTACGAAAATTAAATGGTAGCTGGTAGGGTTAGTCTGTGGTTCAGATTGTACATGTATGTTGTACTTTAACGGTTTTTATTGGTAATAACGCTGTAAAAACACCACTGCATGTTTTTATACTATAAATTTACTATATTAGTGAGGTAACTTGGGATTACTGTAAAAAAAAATTGCTAAATTAACAATAAAAGTGTAGTTTTACAAGTTAGAACTGTATTTTTATTACATGTAACCCGTATTGATACAACTATGTTGGTTAAAAGTACATGTATGCGTACGTACGAAAATTAAATGGTAGCTGGTAGGGTGAGTCTGTCGTTCAGATTGTACATGTATGTTGTACTTTAACTGTTTTTATGGGTAATTCTTCTATTCAAACATGTTAATTACAGGAAACGTGTAATTGTACATCTCTTTAGAACTTTAACATTGATAGACCTTTTAAGGCTTCATTACTTTTCGTCTATACTATAGTCCACTTATGAGGGGATCACGGTGGCTAAGTGGGTAAGACGCTGGCTTGCTAGCCTGGAGGTCGGGTGTTCAATCCCTGCATTTGCCGATAAAGTTCATCCAGATTGTCTGGTGTGGTTCCCCCTTGTCAGTGATGCAGGACGAAACTCTGAGTTTCCGTGTACACGGAAACGATCCCTATTAAACTGTTAAAATTCTATGTACATTTACAGTTATAAGTATACTTAAAATACAGTGTCCGGTTTGTAATATCACATAGTTTGTTAACTTACATTTAAAACGATGTAAATGCATATGAATACAAAGCTTATGTAATGAAATGAAATGAAATGGGGTTTAACGTCCTACTGTTCTGCTCCTATACTGGGCTAATGAAGACGGGCATACGACATACAGTGTGCTATGAGGGAAATTTTGCCCGGGCAGCGGCACTATCGCCTACTCTTATATCGAATTCCAACTGCCAGGGGATCTTTTACGTGCATCCAATATATACACGGGACCTCGGTTTTTCGTCCCATCCGAAGGACTAGACAGCTATCTTTGTCAGGCCCTCCGTTCTGTACCACTGACAAGGGGAAACCACGTCGGAAAATCATGATGAAGCTTATGTAAAATTACATCAAACTTAATGCAGAAATACAACCATATGTGAGTTTACATTATGTGAGCTGTATATTAACAGAAATTAACAGAATTGCCATTTGAATTATTATTTTACAGCAAATTGTAAATGAACTTTCAAATAGTGGCCACACTGGTTATTCCCTCTTTAGCCACATGTAAGATTACATCAAACGTAATGTAAAAATACAACCATATGTCACTTTACATTATTTGAGCTGTATATTAACAGAAATGTCATCTGAAATACTTTTTTTACAACAAATTGTAAATCTACTGTCAAAGAGTGTTCAAATCGGTTATTCCCCTTCGACCACATATCGAATTTTGTGCAAAATATTTACTGTTATATCAGTCAGATTAGTCTATTTTAGAGAAATAGGTTATTCAAAATCTGAATGCACCCATCTGGCGTATGGAGACAGTGATATGCCAAACATAGGTTGTGTGGGACATTTTGCTCCGTGCCATGCCTCCCACTCTTTCCGTAAGAAGCAGAACAGTAGGACGTTAAACCCCATTTCATTTAATTTCTTTCCATTATCGAATGATGTTTTACTTGCTCGGCTCAACGGTCAGCAAAACTTTATGTGTTGGCCAAGATCTAACCTAAGTCTACTTAGCCGAGTGGGGACAATCACATTCAAAGTATATTTCAAGTAAATATATACTGAGCGCCATGGAAAACGCATCACTTAGTTTTTCGTATAACAAAATGATCCTGTAAACAAATCTTATTTATTTTGCTTCTTATTGTGAACAATATTCAAATGGGAACACATCAATAACAACACATTTATACACTTATGGATGGTTAATCTGTAATCAAGGGTACAAAGTCAGAGGGGTCAAAACCAAAAGTACGACACATATGTCAGTAGCGCGTGTGTCCTCCACGGGCCATCATCACGGTAGGCTACATTACACTTCCCCCACCCCATCAATTCGTTTCGAAGACGCATCAGTCTGCAAGACGTTTCCCTAGACGTCTCCACACACGTTGATGGCACTTACTGGTCCTTGTCTTCCGACGACTGCTGCACCTGTTCGAGTCGCTGGGCGGAATCTGTCACGCAGATGAGTGACCCGGATGTAGCGGTCTTGAGCCTGGGTTGTAACGCGTTGTGGACCAGGACGTTGACGGTCACGTATTGATCCAGTAACTCGAACACGTTCCACCAACCTTACAATAGTGGACTGATGACAATTGAAGTGTCTGGCAATAGCAGGTGTAGACATGCCAGCCCTGGACATTCCCATGGCTTTATTCCGTTGATTTTCAGTAAGTCTCGGCATCTATAGCTCGATTCCTTCACACGTCCAACAACAAATTACGACAGATTTACGTTTCACAGTTCATGTACTGCACATTAAGTTGAAAACATGCTTTTAAAGGGCTCACACACAATGCTGCACGTGAATATTTGGTTTTTCATGTGCATCTCGTGCAATTTTTTTTGTGCACACGGGCCGATATTTTTTGCGTTTGGGAGCATTGTGTGAAACAATAGTTCATAGTATTGCATAATATTATACATACAAAACCACCTAGTAATAAAATATTTGGGAAAACAAAGTGATGCGTTTTCCATGGCGCTCAGTAAATACATTTCAAATTGTATTTTTAGCGTAAAATGACTGGCAGAAAGTTGCCAGTAAAATCACTGTATTATAACACTGACTTGTAAATGTACCCCTAAATGGTAGATTTATATTTACAAACCCCAGGTAAATTTAGAGTAAGTGTAAAATAACTTTGAGGTAAATTTACAACCACAATATAAATTTACAGTGAGTGTAAGATAACTTTGAGGTAAATTTACAACCACAGTGAAAATTTACAGTGAACGTAAATTTACATCACTTTCTATTTACAAGAATAGTTTATTTAACACTCACTGTAAATTTACATGCTGTTTGTAAATCTAAATCTACCACTTAGGTGTAAATTTACAAGTCAGTGTTTATATACAGTCCATTTACTGGCAATGATAGATGCGCGCGCATTAGTCACATTCGATCATTTGTTTGATAATTAGTATAGAATTCTACGCCAAGATTATGATTTCTGACATAAAGGTTGCTGATTCAAGAGCCGAATTACTGTGCGTCGAGTTCATGTGTCCTTGGGTAATAAACTTCGTCCCTGTGTTCCAGTCTACCCAGCTGTACATGGGTATCCCTAGGATGGAGTATGCAACTACACGAAGAAAATGAAAATGTTAAGCTCTTTGGGCAGCATAGTGGGCTCTTACTAAGATTTAAAGAGTGGGGGGGGGGGTAAAGGGAGGTAATCAGACTTTATCTGCATCCTCGGGATGGCTTCGGACTTATCGTCTAGTAATCTAAACTGGGTGACCAGGAGAAAACCCACGATGTTAGGTGTTATCTGGTGAAAGATGGTTCGGGTTAAAAATCTCTCTGATCGAAACGTCCTACATTCAGTAAAAGGATCATGCGCATAAATGGGTGAATTGCATAGGGCTATAATATTTGATTTGATTTTTTTCTTGTTGACAGCACTGGTTTAAAATGGAGAATACGACTGGGAGTATAGTAGTTAATTCTAGTTTAGATAGAGAAACTGCTGAAAGAGTGATTCTAGTTCTGTATACTGAAGATAAAAATAACCAGGTCCCTAATACAAATCAAACTGCTACTGGTATGTATACAATAATTTAGTATAATTCCGAGTAGCAATGTTCTTATGTTGTAGGAATACTACTGTCAGGAAATTGGACTAGAATTTCTAGGGTTTAAACCCCCTTGAAAAAGATCTATCTCGGTTAGTTGTGCTTGGCTCTGTGCTCGCTGACACTGCACGGACTATGCAATGGTTAGTTCTAAAGTAATTAAAGTATTTTCCCATGGTAAACCTAATTCATTCCATTAGATTGTTATCGCATGGAACTGTATGCCTCAAATAGAAAGCAGGGGAGACTACTATTATAGTGTAGATTCAGGGGCGTAAAATGGCCATGTCTTTACCAATGGCAATATACTTACTTCGCTAAGAATCTGCCTTCTCTGTTTGTGTACGAGCAATAGCTATTCTGAAATTAAATACGCTAACTTTTTTACGATTTTAGCACCACGGAGTATATACCCAAGTTCGTACACGCATGAAGAGAATGGGCGATGATCGTCATAATTTAAAAGGTCCCCATGCCCTTACCAATGACTTACTTTTTATATAATTAAACTATTTTAAAACCGTCTCGTACCATTCGATATCCGCTGCTTTTCTATTAAATAATTATTTTGGAATATAAACTAAATATTCCTGTCATTAACTATCTCAAAATAATCCTCACAAACTGCACGACTTATCCTGTATAATATTGCTGTGTATGCTATTTACAGACACTTACGATCCATAAATTAAATTGTGTCTAGCAAATAAGTGTTTGAACGATTCATTAATGATAATAACTTTATAATTACACTTTGTGATTTCTTAACAAATTTTGAATTAAGTGGCCCTAGATACATGTTTAACATTCAGTTAGGAAAAAACCCGACTTACTACATTTTTCATGATTGTGTTGGATATTTATGGCTATTAAATTGTCATCTGCAACAGCTATTGAAGTTTGTTTTTTTAGTTTTATTTAACGTTGTTATCCCACGCCGTCAGGGAGAGATATTGAAATGAGCCGTCTCGACTTTGTTTCTTGAGCATATATTATATATAGACCGTTCAAGATATACATTAACTGTGCCGATTGCTAATTTGTAAAGTCTCAGTAGAACAGTTTTTGTGTTTTGTGAACTGGACCAAACCGGGTACCGAATGAAACCACGACACCGGGCAGCCCATTGCCATTGTGTATTTGTTTTTCTTGCATCCTTTTCTACATGTTTCAGGTACCCTAACTATAATTCTATCAGATGTTAATGATGAAGATCCAGTTGTAACGGAAGGTTCAGATGTGGTATTAAATATATCAGAGAGCACGAGTATATCAACAGAACTAACCACATTTACAGCTACAGATAAAGATAAAGAACAAACAGTTAAATTTACATTGTTAAATACAACATTCTTTACTATAACTAATAATGGTAAGAATATTAACATGGCGACTGTCAATACCCACACGAGGGATTTTTAATCCACCGCAAATTATACCATATTATGAAAGACGAATATCTAGTCCAAGCGGGGAATCGAAACCACGCCACTTGACTCATTCACACAATGACAGACCTTGTGATACAACGCGCACGCGTTAACCATTCGGATCCCCCCCCCCCCCAAAAAAAAAGTTTTATAAAACTAGTGTGAGTCATGATCGGCTATAGGCTACATGAAATATAAATGTAGGCACATTGAAGGAAAATACCATTTATCTGAAATTTAGTAAAACGGCCAAGTAAAAATTAAGTGGCCCATGTAGTATTCAAAAATAGGGGTCAAAACATTATAGGCGTACAAAAGGATTCAAGTTAGGGCATTAGTCCTTAATTTATATAAAACATTAAAAAAAAACAAAAAAAAACTGAATACAAAGAAGCAATAGGAAAACATACGACTAGTCCAGACTGCGGTCGTCTGCTGAATGACGTTAAGCCGGTAGTTTGCCACTTGACGCTTTAAGTTAATGTAAATTATACCAACAATAAAAAGGGCGACAATCCAGATAAGACAACGCTAAAAGGGTTTAAACTAACAATTCAGCAAGAGACAGGTATTCTTCAACTGTTTAATTGCACAAAATACAACAAGTCAGACACCTGTAAGAGATACAAACAGGATATATTGAAGAAATGGAACTATCGAAATATATTTGAGTAAAAGTGTATAATAAGGGCGATAATCCAAATCGAAATCCGGAAACCGTTTAAATTGTAACAATTAAGGAACAGATAGGTATTATTCAATTATACCATTGCACAGAATGCATTCTATTAAAATGCGTAATTGTGTCCCGCCCTATATGGTTACATATTGTCCAGTGTGTGACAGTTGGAATTAGACGATGTATGGCAAGATTCCTTCATCATTATCCTGGTTGGTGACGATACCTATGACTTAACCGCATCTCATCTTTCTGAAGATTTCTTGCAAACCTCTTAACAGATTGGTCTTTTAATTCGAATGTTCATTAAGTTGTCATATACAACTGGCGGTAGTTTTTTCTTTAATGTGCATAGAAGTTATATCTCATATCAGCCTCTCATGGCACTCTGATGGCGTTGATGAAATATTACAAAGAACACGGAAATCAATTTTTATTCTTTTTACAATTACAAATGTTTATGGTACAGTTTGTAGCATTCAGTATACCGAAATAGAAGGTGTACTTATCGGTATATTTAAATCGAACTCAGAATTTCCTTTTCAATTATTTCTCGGGAACAACCCGCTTAACGCAGTAGGTCAAATCCTTCTCTTAACACACCGAAAACCTTCCAGGTTCACTGTGAGAAATATCGGAATACATTGCCTTTTGATTCAAATTTCCATTGACTTTTAGACTAGCAACTAGTAGATCCTCACCGGAATTTGCATTCGCATCTATTTTCGTTATTGGGCGGAAATTATCGAGCAATTATCAAATTATTTTTTTACTTTAAATGAAAGGATCCATACAATTTAAGGACGATTAAAACTATGGCGTTGTGTAATGTCGGATTTAAATCTTTTCTCGTGTCGTACTCGGACGATCAAACGGTTCGAGGTGATAGAATGTCCATCTTTTAATGCCTTCAATTCATATTTAATGGAAAGAAGTACATGTCTTTAGTCACGCATCGCAATAATTTGAGATCCAACGACGTCGCATTATTTTCAGCAAGCGACATTTCGATAACTAAATACTTTTAAGGGCTCCAAATGTAAGAGACAATAAATGAAATGAAATGAGGTTTAACGTCTTACTTTTCAACTAATGAAGACAATGATGTATTGTGTCATGGGAAAAATTTTGCCCGAACAGCGGCGCTACGGCCTACACTTATTTCGAATTCCGACTGGCAAGGGTTCTTTTACGTGGACGAAATGTGTACATGGGACTTCGGTTTTCCCACCATCCGGACTATTATACGCTGTCCCGTGCAAACCCCTCCGTCCTACATCACTGTCAATGGGAAACCACGCCGGAAAATCCCGATGATCTATCTCGGTCAATACCGGGTTCGAACACGGGATTTCTAGGTTAGCGAGCCAACATTGTACTCACCGAGTCACTGCGACTTCCATCACGGACTATAATATAATTATATATTCTGCTATCCCCTATCTGCCCCTACCCCTATAATGCGAAGATTATCCTGAGGATTTTTTCTACCCGTACCTGTTATGCTGAAAATAGTACAATGCGTTTTTTTTTTCTATCCTGTATGTAGGTAAAATAACTCTAGCAAAAGTAATGGACAGAGAAAAAAAGTCACGGCATGATTTTGAAGTTATTGCTACTGATAGTGGAATACCACAAAGAAGTTCTTTGGTGTCGGTCCACGTTAATGTTTTAGATTATAATGATAATCCGCCAATTTTTAATATGACAAAGAAGACATTCAGTGTTCCAGAGAATGCTACAAACATGACAAGTATAGTCAATGCCACTGTTTCTGATGATGATATTGGTGCCAACGCAAATATAACCTTCAGACTTTTGGAAGAGATTGATGTGTTTAGAATTGACTATCTCACAGTAAGTTATATTTGGAAGGGGTTGGTGGTATTTAATTATTTTGTACCTGTAGGTCCTGGAAGGGGTGTGGTGGTGGTGTGTGTGTGTGTGTGGGGGGGGGTATATGTTTTGTACACCCAGGTAGGTTATTCTTTTAGTGCTTATTCGGATGTCTTCAATGAGGTTAGTCCACTGGGGCGTAGGAAAGTGGGACTTTGAGGTCGCAAATTTAAACATTTTAAAATCATTGTTCTTCGGGCCTATTATTTAGTATGTCTTTACAAAACTGCAGCTAAAACAAGTTGTTTGACCAATAAATGTAGCTGTAACGGTTTTGAGAAAAAGTGGAGTGGTGTGGAGTGATTTCCTATTAATGGACTGATAGCCCAATTGGTGTAGAAAAGTAAAACCTTAAACCCCAATTCATTTGTAATAATTCTTACAATATTCATAGTTTTAATGCTGTCACTTATATTTGAGCAGAAATATAAATCTGAAAAAAGAGCATAATTATTGATTAACCTGGGCTAATGAAGACGGGCATACGCCATACAGTGTGCTATGAGGAAAATTTTGCCCGGGCAGCTGCGCTACGGCCTACTCTTATATCGAATACCAACTCCCAAGGGATCTATTACGTGCACGCCAATGTGTACACGGGACCTCGGTTTTTCGTCCCATCCGAACGACTAGACAGCTGTCCTTGTCAGTCCCTCCGTCCTGCATCTCTGACAAGGGGAAACCACGCCGGAAAATCTGGATGAACTTTCTCGGCCAATGCAGGGATCGAACACCCGACCTCCAGGCTAGCGGGATTATAGGCGGAATCCAAAGGAATAAGTGCGTCCCTTCACAATCATTTTGCACCCTGTTATCTATAAGCATTATAGGGTGTCGTGCGTGAAGCAGGATAAGCTTAGGAATGTTGTTGGTGCTATTATTTATATATAAATGAAAAGTACCCGAAGACACCCCTTCATACTTTTACCACTCGTATAATTGATTTGTTTCTTTTGAATTATTGTTTCTTTTTATTTCAATATTCATTTCAGGGAGAAATATTTGTTAATCGACCACTGGATAGAGAAGAAAAAGACAATTATATAGTTCGTATAGAAGCTAGAGATAATCCTATTAAAGAATCAGAGAAAAGCAATAAAGCTACCCAATCAATCACTGTACAGGTTACTGATATTAATGACAATGCTCCAATATTCAAACATATACAATACACTGTTCTCATTCCTGAAACTAAGAACATAGGTGACGTGATTAGAGATGTAAAACCGGAAAATATTATAGCCGATGATGAGGATGCTGCAGAAAACGCAATAGTCATTTATAGTCTTGACAATTCAACAAATTTCAACATATCCTCTAAATCTGGAGAACTCATAGTTTCCTCCTCACTAAGGGGAAGGTCTGGTATATATAATCTCACCGTGTTTGCAATTGATCAAGGTCCTGGTAATCTTCATTCTAACACAAGTCTGGTAATTGAAGTACAAGATGAAAATATAAATCCACCAGTATTCAGCGATTCTGGACCAATACCAAATATCAAAGAGGTTAGTTATCTATTCCTGACGTTAAGCTCTTATCATGAACTATCCCTGTGCTTAAAATATAAATTAAAAGCATATTCACTGTATAAAGCCGTAATTTTATTTTACTGTATATATTGAGGTCGCGTTCCTGCGTGTAGGTAGAGATAGGCTGAAAATATTAACAACTCGTTACGATTTTTGTCATTATAGAATTTGTTCTTTAATTTTTCTTGTCTTGTTTTTTAGTGTTTGAATATAGGTGACAAAATATATGTGTTTAAAGCAATGGATGCCGATAAGGAATTATCTACAAATGGCAAAGTTCAATATAGTTTCGACAATGAAACTTTAACTGACGACTGGAAATATTTCCATATAGACGTAAATAGTGGAGTCATGGTTCTAGCCAAAAAAGTCGACCGTGAAACAAAAGCTGAATTTAAGGTAAATTGGACCATGCTCTTTCAAATATGAAATGAAATAAAATTGGGTTTAACGTCCTACTGTTCTGCCCCGACTGGGCTCATAAAGACGGGCTTTCATATTATGACGTACTATACATTTTGTTCTGTTCGTATAACGACAGTAGGAGGGGGGGGGGTGTTGGATGGTCGAGTGGTTAGCACGTGCGTGCTGTATCATAAGGCCTGTCCAACCACGTGGGTTTTCTCCGGGTCCTCCGGTTTCCTCCCACTGCTAAAGACCCCTACGCGCAAGCGAATTATTGAAATAAAATCAAACCATATGTTAGTCCCGAAATGACCTAGTTTGTGCCGAGTGGACGTTAAACCCCATCTCTCTCTCTCTCTCTCTCTCTCTCTCTCTCTCTCTCTCTCTCCTGTTTGTCAGTTGCCCGCGCTTGTCTTTATAAATAGCTTTTCGGTACCCTACTAGAATTCATAAATGTATATCTTTTTCAGATACGAGTTATTGCTTATGATTTAGGCTTACCTAATAGATTACAGGTGAAAACTGACCTTCTTACTATTAAAGTTCAAGATGTCAACGACAATCCTCCTACTTTCAACTCCAGTTCCCGAGCTGATAGAACTTTCAAAGTCCGGGAAAATGAAGAAAACCGCGCGGATCCCATCGGATGGATTCAAGCGGTTGACCCAGATGAAAATTCAACAATTGATTATACATTGGAAGGTATCCGACATTGCATTGTAATTTAATATCGTAACTGTTTACAAAGACTTTACAAAGAATTCAACTTGGCTATTAAAACTTGCAGTAAATTCTGGTTAATGAGTTTGTTGTGATAGGTGTGCTATGAAATCAAAAGAGGAACATAATATCGACACTTTTCCTCACAAGTTGTAGATTCGGGCATAAGGGTATATTCAAGAAATGGCTTGGGTGTGAATAAAGAGTCAAAAATTTGCAATTAACGAAAAATAATTTAGCCTCTAATGGTGGTGACAAAATACGCCCATCGGTCTAAAATTAATATTAAAAATCAGCCTTACTTTAATTATGAATTTAACATCTTCTCTAGATAGCCAATGGAAGGAGTATTTTATAATGGAAACCGTAGGTGAGAGGGGTAAGATAACAGCAGTTAAAGCATTGGATAGAGAAAAGGCTTCCACAATTACACTGATTGTAAAGGCAAATGATACCTCAGTCATTGGTTGTGGTTCTGAAGATCGTTACAATATATCTAAAACGAGCGTCTTTATAAACGTTCTGGACGAGAACGACAATGCACCCACTTTCACCAAAGATGAGGTATCTAAAGGTTTCCGTAGCACCAGCGACTTTGGAACTCTTGTGCTGGATCTGAAGGTAAGAAGAACATGGTTTAGGAATCAGTAAGTGTGTTCAAATTAAAACCGGAAATATTTTCAGATGTTCAAACTTCAAAATACAATGTACAAATAAGATTATTACAATAAATAGAGAGAGAGAGAGAGAGAGAGAGAGAGAGAGTTTAACGTCCACTCGACACAAACTAGGTCATTTCGGGACTTACGTGTGGTTTAATTTTATTTCAAAAATTCGCTTGCGCGTAGGGGTCTTTAGCAGTGGGAGGAAAGCGGAGGAACCGGAGAAAACCCACGAGGTTGGACAGGCGAACCTACTCCGTGTCACGTACAACCGGGGATTCGAAACCACGCCAGTCGACTCAATGACAGACTGTATGATACAGCGCGCGCACGCTAACCATTCAGCCATCCAACCCCCCCAATAAATAGAGTAGTCACTACTACTGTCAATGAAGTACAAACTACTTACCACCAAAACTGTTTCTTACCCTTTTCCATCTAGTATCTTTTGCTATTAGGTTATTTGAAAATCGACCCACGTCTAAATTGTACCTTTCTATGCGCCTCTCTGGTCAGTTGTTTTGGGACTAATTGTTCCGATAACCAGTTGTTTCGGATCGCCTTGATTTTCTAAAATATTAAGCGGGGGTTGGGTGGCCGAATGGTGTAACACGTCCGCGTTAGATCATGAGGTCTATCATTGAGTCAAGTGGCGTGGTCTCGATTACCCGCTTGTACGTGACAAAGGGTAGGGTCCTCTGTCCAACCCCGGTTTCTTCCCACAACTAAAGACCCTACGCGCAAGCGAATCATTGAAATAAAATTAGACCATAAGTTAGTCCCAAAATAAACCCCAATTCGTTTTCTTTTTCTAAAATATTAAGCAGTAGGAAGCGAAAATATTTTGTACAGATAAAGCTGTTGGCGAAGGAAGACATTTCATTTATATTCATAAGAATTAAACCAAATTGATTACAGAAACGAGAGCAATCTCTACATCTGTTTTCAGTTGTGATTTTGTTTTTATGAAAGTAATTCTCTACATAAATCTTTACGCAAAAATACGAATGAGACTTTCAAGAACATAAATGTGTATAAACCACTATACCTGCTAATACACATATATCCGTATTTTTTTAATTATTAAATTGACCCCAGATCGCGTTCTTTATGGAAAACCATACAGCTCTTTATTCAATGTTATTAATTCTTAGTTCTTAATGCATAGTCAATAATTCTTATTTCTTCATTTGTTGTCGTATTCCGACATTTGTATACTAAAATTAACATTTGTATCTTAAAGTCAATATTAGTTTTACAAATCAGATATTTGTCATAAAAGATTTGTGAATTGTGTTTTGGTTTAATTTAATTTTAGTTATATAAAGATAAAATTTATTTTAGAAAATAAAAAAATTAGCCTACATTTACATTTCATCAGAGACATTCAACGAAATACAAATCTCGAACAACAAATTTCCAAACACAAATATCCAAATACAAATTTTGAAAAACGTTTCTCGAAATACATTTCTCCAAATTCATCGAACCGGAACATTATCACGACATGAGCGGATACAAAATGACATACAATAAGTCACCATACTATAATGGGGAATCGAATGTGTATATACATTAAGCAAAATCGCTCGACGACCGTGACTGTAGTGAAACCAGTAGTATGGTTAACCGGACCGAAAAAGAAAATAAATTGAAAGTAGTCTATTTTCAGAAATTAGGTTATTGTCTGGTAGCGACATATTTTTTTTGTTTAGGCGAATGGGTGTTTTATCTCTTCTAAATCATGTAATCATGAATGTGCCAGGGAATAAGTAACATATTGAAAGTGAGATATAAAATACTTTCCGGTCATGCATTACACGATAAATCGTATTTTAACTTTTAAATACCCCCCTCCCCCATACACACACATTAACTTGACCAATATATGCAGAAACATATCTCTACGGATTAGCCATAACACAATTAAACAACTTACAAATCTTTTTAGTTAGTTTTTTTATAAGCCTACATTTCAGTGTGGGCGTATTATGTCGTCAACCAGTCCGTTGGCTTGTGAACGTGATAGAAGCTACAGTTTTTGTCGGATTCTTTTCAGATTTGGTGTGAAGCATTGTGGTCATGTGATCATCGTTCCGCGACCTTCCGTGTAAGAATTATCCCCACCCCCTTTGCGAAAAAATTTGGTGTGAAGCATTGTAGTCATGAGAGGACGAATTCGATATTCAGCGTTCCACGATCTTCCGATACAGGCTTTAGTGTTTAACGGATTTTTTTCAAATTTGGTGTGATGGGAGGACGAACCCTTCCGAGTTATCCCCCTTTGTAGAAATATCAAATCAAGTCAACAAGTTTAGTTTTCTTTTCGGATAAGCTGCTGCCGCGAGATAGTTGCTCTCTGAGTGTTTTTCCACGCTACGTGGCTATCTTTCATTTTATCGGGTGGGTATTTCAAAATAGGTATTTCGAAACGTATTGTCATAATTTATTGGAAAACTTTATGTGTTCGTTTAACTTGCCCCATTTATGTACGCTCACTTTATATATGAGTGCGTGTGTCTGCCGTCAAGTGTCCGTCGAGTGACGGTCTGTCGCCCGTTCGCTGTTTCTTGTAAACACGTACTCGATTACAGAACAGATTTATTTTTCAAATTTCATGGGATAGTTATCCAAATTCAGAATTTCCAACATATGAAAACATCGGAACGCGATAATTTGTTTATAAGGAAGCAACCTGTCGAATTTCAATTTTTTGAAACTTCAATTTGACAGAGTTATCTTTCCGATCATATTTTTGCTCGTGAACTCGACACACGGAAGAACTCTGTCAAAATTCGAACTTTTAACACGAAATACAGAATTATTATTAAAACTTGGTTGATATTGTTCATAACTCCATTTATGTTTAAATTCATCCAGAATGAGATACCGAAAACTGTTATCTATGGAATTGTAGGGTAATTTTATTCCTAGTACAAAGGACTTGGCGATTAGTGAGGTAAAAAGACAAGAAAAGGATATTTAAAGATACACACACTACATGTATACACATGCTAACAACTAGCCGTGACCGATACCCCACCTCACCCTCAAAAGGAGCAAAGTTAAAAAAGATATATAAAATTATAATTCAGTGTGTTATCATCTTACAGATTTGAAACTCCCCAGAAAAGGTGGTACTGAAAAAGGTTTACTGAGCAGTAATTTGGGCATAAAATTAAGAATAATGGAATTATGGATACATATTCAGTAAAGATCACATGACATCACATCTTCATGTGATAAATACGATAAAAGATCGCTTGCACAATTATAACATTTTAGAGTTAAAACCTTTCTGAAGAAAATCCAAATTATCAAATTACATTTAATGAAATTCGACAAACAATTGCAAGCTGTCCTGTTTCTGATTGATAAAAATTTGAAACCTAAAAGTCACATAATCTGCGATGGGTTCTATATTATCTCATTTTAAAGATCAGATTTATCTATTGTAATTTTATAGGAACTCGTAATAGATGAAGATTTACCTATCAACAGTTATCATCAATATAAAGTAGTAGGGGAGTTGACTATTGATACGAATGTCCAGGCTTTTACATCTCCACCAGTTAATCTATCAACAAATGGAACGATAACAACCAACCTCAAGTTTGAAACCAGTACTGTTGGTCAAGTATCATTTACTGTTATGGCTTATGATATGGCAGGAAATGACACCATTGATGTCTTGGTATGTATGGAAACAGGGAGCCATTAAATTCTTACATCCGGTGGCCCACGCATGAAGTTCCTTCTATTAATTATTGTCTTTCTCTCTCCATTTTCTCCCCTTTTACATGGCAGGTTGTGTTGACTTTTTGGTCTAGAATCGAAGAAGAGGGTTTGCCTTTATTTGGAGAGTTGCGTGGTTGAAATGTAGGGAGGATTGTTGCATGTTTACTAGTAGGTAGAAAACGTTCAACCCAACGTAAAGGTGGGGAAATCTTAGAGCAGTTCAAAAAGAAGAGAAATATCAATGGGTAAAATTAATCGTAAATGAAATGAAATGAAATGGAGTTTTATGGCACGTCAGTTGAAACAGGGCTATGTTGCCCCAAACATATGGTGACTTTAACGAGACAAATTAAAAGAATATCACCGACATTTATATATGTAAATAAAAACAAATATCATAGAAAATATAATTAAAACAACTATTAAATCTTTTACATATACAAATATTTAAAACGTAACGCATGATAAAATATATACAAATAAAATTTATTATAAAATTTTGTCTCCTTTAAAAATGTTAGCAATTTATCATATAGCTCCGGTTGAGCAAATAGCTGACGTACTGACTGGCAAAGGTAATATTTAGATCTAATATACGTGAGAAGATTGCACTCAATCAAGATGTGTTTTCCTGTCAAAGGAACATGACTGTGAACACATTCTGGTTGGGGCTCTCGCTTCAAACTGAAAATGTGAGTTAAAAAGGTATGACCAATGCGGGAGCGAAACAAAACAACTTCATCCCTCCTGCTGGTTCTATAGGAGATTGGCCAGTCTCCCAAGAGAGGCTTGATGTGATGAAGTTTATTTGTTGTAAGATCCCAAGACCGTTGCCAGCGGTCATATATAAAAAAAAGTTGAAGGAAGATTTAAAATCGGTGAAAGGTAAAAGAAATTGTGGTATGGGAAGATCTAAAGCAGACTTGGAAGCTAAGTCTGATTGATCATTCCCTTTAATATCAACATGACTGGGGAGCCGGCAAAGGACGGTGTCCTTACCGTTAAACTCGTGTGATAGTAGCAGACGAAAAATGTCTGCTACTAAAGGGTGTACAAGCTGTTCATTGTTTATTTACTGTAAAGAGGACAAAGGATCAGTGAATATAATGTGTTTTAAAAATAAAAAGGATTGAATGAACTCCAAGGCCTGAAAGATGACCTGGAACTGAGCAGTAAATATGGAAGCAGCAGATGGAAGTCTGACAGAAATGATTCCAGATGGCGTGACGGTAGCCGAAGCTACCCGATCACCATCTTTGGAACAATCTGTGTAAATGGGTGCATAATCACCATATTTAGATCTTAACTCTCGAAAGGGAGACTGAAACACCGTGGAACTAGTATCTTTATTTGTGTTTTTCGTTAGATCTAAATCGATCTTGGCAGGCGATATAGTCCAGGGTGGAGTACTAAATAAAGGGGTATTCGCAATACTGTCATGACTGATGCCACCCTCTGACAAAAGGGGATGGATGCGAATACCGAATGATTAAATAACGTTAGTTTTCAGTAAATACAGATGTTCATGATATGGTCTAAATATGATATTAAATGATATATGATTAGGCAGAGATGCAATTTTTGTAGCATCCTGCAGTGACAGTTTATCACGTCTGTCGTGCAATAAGGGCTCATGAGCCTTGAGGTACAAACTGTGCACTGGAGATGTACGGAATGCTCCTAAACTGCTCCTAAGGCTTGGTGTCAAGCTCTTTGAGATGAGACTCGCGGACCGACCCATACACAATGCACCCATAATCGAGTTTTGATCTTATTAATGCTCGATATACAAGACCTCACGGTCTGCTCCCCAGTCAGTGTTTGATAAGACTCTCAATATTTTGAGAGCTTTCAGACATTTCTTCTTGAGTGTTTTATATGAGGGATGAATGATAATTTCTTAACAAATATCAAACCCACGAATTTCGTCTTATCTACAACTGGAATGGGATTACCACCCAGTGTAAGTTCCGGATCGGTATGTAAACCTCTTCTTTGACAGTCTTAGATTTCGAAAATCGAAATCCATTGTCAGTTGTCCATCGTTGAATAGAATTCAAGAAAAGCGTTCCTTAAACGACCTATCTTCTAAGAAATTGGAATTAAAGATAAGCAAGCGACCTCTGAAACCTAGGTTATGGAGGTCACGCATAATACCATATTTCCATGTGGCATCGTAGGCTTTCTCAAGATAAAAGAAAATGGCAACTAAGTATTGTTTCTCAATGAAAGCGTCCCTGACGAACGTTTCAAATCTAACGAGGTGACCAAGAGTGCTCTTTGGGGGCCGAAATCCACATTGAAATGGGTTTATTGGACTCGAGGTACCAATAAGCCTTCAATTGATCAATCTCCCCATGGGTTTGCAAATTCAGCTGGTTAAAGCGATCGGACGATAATTGGTAGGGTTCGTAGGATCTTTACCCGGTTTAGGGATGGGAATTATTGTGGCTTCGTGCCACGAAGTTGGGAATTTCCCATCAACCCAAATCAATTTATAAAGATCTAATAATATTAAGAGAGTAGGAAAAGGTGATGTTTTAAAATCTGGTAGTGAATTTCATCTGGACCAGTTGTAGTATCCCGGGCTCTCTTAAAAGAGTCACGGAGTTCAGCAATAGAAAACTTGTCATTATAACATTCATCATTATGGGACTTGAAATTAAGTCGCCTTTTCTCCGGTTGTTGTTGTTTAATGCCCCGAAAGGCATCCGAGGAGAAATTGGTTGATGAATTGAATGAGAAAGTACTGGCCAGAGAATAAGCGATTTCATGAAATGTTCTTAGGATGGAATTTTTAACATTTAGATGGTTTACTGATAATGCACTAATTTTACCTTTAATTCTACGAATCCTATCCCATACCGTTTTGGAAGTGGTACGGGAAGTGATCCTAAGACATAACCCTGCCATGAAGACTTCTTTGCTTGGCGTATGGCTCTACGGGCCTTCGCCTGGACCATTTGGTATGCTGCAATATTCTCCATGGAAAGGTGATACTCAAGGTGTCTTAAAATACGATAACGCTCTCGTAGAGCGGATTTGCAATCGTTATTATACCATGGTTTATTGAAACGTTTCTGTTTAGTCGTAGTCCGTGGAATCGCCTGCTCTGCTACATCTTGAAGAATTGAAGTGAATAAGAGAAAAGACACAAAGATTCAAAAAGAGCCCAATCAGCCTTATGCAACTTCCACCTCTGCAGTCGTTCGACCGGAGAGGGACCATTATTATCAATCAAGATAGGAAAGTGGTCACTACCACATAGATCTTTATTTACTCTCCATGTAAAATCCTGAAACAGGACCGGAGAGCAAATCGCGAGATCAAGAGAAGAAAACGAAGCTGTGGCAGGATGTAGATAAGTAGGCGAGACATTATTTAATAAGCACAAATTATTAATGTTAATGTAGTCAGCTATTTGATTACCTGTGATATTGTAACAGTGTAAATCTTCGGTAATAAATACCCACTGGAATTATCCGTTAAACTGTTTAATACCGGAAAACATAAAACATCAGCACGTCCGACAGGCAGAATGACTGTCCTAGAAACGAGATAAAACCTAGAATATTGAATGAATGTACAATTCAGTATTTAAAGAAGCTAGTATCTAAGAATTAAATTAAATATACACAATTAGCAAATGTGGGTAACAACATTAAAGACAATAATTACAAATAATAGAAAAAAAGGCTGTCCACCATCAGTTACCAAGTTACAAGATTAATGGCTTCAGGTATTAAAATAAATCTATTGAAATTTAAATAAATTATTAAAACAACACAATGGACATTAAATGAATAAATGAATTCATAAAGGAGCGAATGAATAAATACACGAATTATATCCCCATTACAATATTATCATCAGGACTACCCCAGAGTGAATGATGACCATTGAAATCTCCCATAATGATAAAATAGAGAGGTAGTTGCGCGATCAGGTCATCAAGATCCCTGGGGTTTAGATTTAAACTTGATGGTAAGTACAGAGAGCACAGAGTAACGGGGATATATATGTAAAGTCACCCTTGCAGCCACAGCCTATAAAGGTGTGGTTAGGGGAACTTGACTATGGGACATCTCCATTAAGAATAATGGAAACACCACCACGTGCTCTACCATCATTATTAGCAAAATGATGATAGGCAACAAAATGTTTATATAATAATTTATTAGAAGTTTTAAGAAATGTTTCTTGTAAGCAAATAGCTAATGGATTGAATGTTTGTATTAGGATTTGGAATTCATTAAAATATGGCTTAATACCACGACAGTTCCACTGAATTATGGAATATGCCATCGTCAGAGATGTTTAACAGGACTTCTTGACTGTTATTTGGGATTGGGGCGTGAATCTCCACAACAAAATCCATTATATTGTCCTGATTACCGAACCTGTTATAGGTCTGGACAGGGTCATCTTCAGCCTTCCTGCTAGGGAAGTATACAAGTTTTGAACCGGCCTTCGATTTAAGGGGTTTTTTTGGTGGTACAGTGGGTGGCGTTCCACCATTTGAAGGAGTTTCTGGCACAATCCCCTCTGCTGCCTCGGGCACTGTAGACGAGAGTAGTGAATTCTGGTTTCTTTGGTATTTGAGGTTTTGGGGAAGATGATCCTATTCTTTTCTGTTTTTATCTGTTGCACCTCTTTCTTTTTTTCCACAAAGAACATTCTCTTGAATAAGCAAAATGTGGTCCTTTGCAATTTTCACGGTGATGTTTTAGTTTGCATGTTTTGCTTTCGTGGCCATCTTGGCCACACCATGTACAAATCGGTTTACTCTTACATAAATTTTTACTGTGCCCAAAGCGTTGACATTGAAAGCAACGCAATGGGTTAGGTGTGTAAGGAGATAAATCCAGTTTTGATGGTTTTGGGCAATTCTGGCTTGTTGAATGTCAGGATATAGGTGTTGGTTTCGATGATATTACCATTACGCTTGATGGAAATATGTTTAACCATACTTACACCTTGTGAGGAGAGTTCGCTGAGCATCTCTTCCCCATTGCTGCCTTCTAAATCCTGAGACCTAATAACACCCCTAGAAAAATTTAGACTATTATGGTGTGTTACTTTAATTGGTATGTTCGCTAAAAGGATCGATTTTAATAATGACAACGAATATTGCTCTTCCGTGCATTCAACCGAGAGGGTACCACTTCTCATCGTCTTAACCCTTAGCAATTAAGAAAGGTGATTGCTTACTTAATGCGGTTTCATTGCTTCTTTCAACCTATACCACGTTCGTGAAGATTTTGTTGATAATTCGCAAATTTTATCTGTCGGCCCGCGTTTCGGCGGGCAAAGTCTTTTAATTTGGGAAGCCCTATTGTTTTTTTTAATTAATCACTGACTGCTCTCCAATCACCAAGGATTGCAACATCCGTACAGGCTACGCCGAACGAGAACATCCAGTTATATACTCAGACGAAGTTTAGAGGATATCTTTCACTTCATCCAATTGACCCAAGCCGCTTCCAAGAAGATGCTGCTCAAGGACACAAAGGTTTAACTGTATTAAACTAATAAAACAGTAGGGATGGGAAAATTTATCCTCTCTTCAGCTAACACGAACAAGGCCTATTGATTAGGGTGAGCCACTCTGACCCCCCTCTAGATGAACCATTGGCCAAAGTAATGTGTTGCAGAGAAAGGGCTTGCAAACCAAATCCCCACGCAATTACCAGGATTTCACTCTCCACCGACACGGGTCGCATCGCACGGCAAACACGTTGCCCCATTACAGGAATCCTTTTAGTCGCCTTTCACGACACGCAGGACATACGAAGGGTATATGGGTGGTCTTGATCTGGGATCAAATGGGATTTGGTTAACACGTTGATAGTGTAAATGGAAACCTAGTCTGACCCTATTATTCTAGAAGATGTTCACATGTGTATCCGTGCAGAGAAAGTGTATATGGAAAACGAATTTGGTCCATATTATTTTTTAAGTTTTTAAGTCAGTTGTATTCCCTTCATAACTTTGACCTTAGCCAGCTTGAATGACCTTTTCTGAGAAGAGGTCTGACACTGAGTGTAAATGGTTGCATCCCAAGAACAATTCTGACACGGATAGTGTAAATGTGTACAACTCTAGAACGGTTCTTGTACTGATGGTGAAATGGGTAGAACTTGTTGAATTGTATGGATTCGGTAGATTTTTATCGGGGACCAGAGTAAGTGGGGTATATGCATAAATGTCAATTAAGAGAGCAATCTATCTTCAAATTTAAAACAAAAATATGATATGCCATACAACATAATTTTAACTTTGTTACACTAGCCCAGTCGAAGGAAAAAAGTAGTGCACTAAACTCCATTTCATTCCATTTCTGTACAAAAAAGTCTAATATTCTATTAACATTTACAGATTTATATTATTGGTGATAAACAAGTACTGAAGATAACTCTATTTAAACTTCCAGAAGAAGTTCGATTACTTCAAGATGAACTAATAAGGTAATAACTAACCCATTACATACCAAACAGACAGTTACGTTTGGATTCATTAATTATTCGCGTGTGTCATCAGCAAATGGCTGCCGTAGTGAATAGTGACAATAGTGAGTTGCATGTCCTACCAGATTGATATTTAAAGTTTCTCAGAAAAGTACATTGAACATATGCAACCAAACGTAACTATTGTTGGAATTTATGTTTGCGTTTTTGTTGGGTTTTTAGACAAATACTTACAAAACCGAAAAACTTATAATTTATGTGATGCCCTTTCAGTTTTCTACAAAATAAACATAAGGTCCAATATTTCAGTAATAGACAATAATGTCCATTATTTATGTAATATACAACAATATGTAGTTTTATAAGGTTTTAATCAAATTATATATACACTGATTCTTGCGTCCCACAAGGTCTGCACAATTAGACCCTGGAACAATTTATTGGAAAATAATTATTAAAACCTCACAATCTTTTATTGTATTTCAATCGGATTCCCTTTTAGACCCTCCGTCCTGCACTACTGACAAGGGGAAACCACGTCGGAAAATCCCGATGAACTTTCTCGGCCAACACCGGGAGCGAACCCGCGACCTCCAGGCTAGTTAGCCAACGTCCAGCCAACGTCCTGCCCACTTAGCCAACTGGAAATAGGAAAGCTATTGTTATTCATTGTCAGAATTAAAAAATAAATTAGGAAATTAAATAATCACATATTTTACAGTTGTATTAGATATTCAAAAGTGTGTTTAAAGTATAGTTGTGTAGATGACGATAACTACCATTATTATTTTTTTATGTCACCCTAGATGTAATTTTATGTGGTGATCCTAGGCCATGCCACTTACGATGTCACCTATCCGCCGACACCGCACTAAAAAACATATAGGACACTACGGTCCGAATGTGTGACACAATTCTGGTCTCCCTCAGCCGGAAGTATGCCTTTCTACGAACGCCCAATGGTGTCCTGATACACGTAGTCTAGCCCGGGGCTTTTTCAAAGGGGTTAAATGAATAAGTCATAGACTGACCCCTAGATATTACGAGGTACTATGAAACACCACGTACTAATATAGACCTGCGTGCCTAATTTTCTAAGAATTAGCTCATGGGGAGACAGACTCTCTCGTGACTTATTGTGGGAGCACCAGGCATTCTGAGGTGCATGACACCTAATTAACGCAAATTCGTATGTCCACACCAGGCAGCCCCCGGCTACACTGTAGCCTTAAACATCGGTCATCACCCTCGGCTTTGCTCAATTTTGTTTAAAACACATTATCTCCCCGGCCCTAATCCACACCCTGAGTCGTGAGGGTGGGCCTCATAAAGTGGAATAGCCTAGGGCTTGTGTCATCATCTAGATCTGGCAATGAACTCTCTATACTATTGCTTAGTTTATCTGTTTTATTGGTAGGCAGAGAATTTCTAACTTTTGAGGATTGTCCAAACCATTTCAGTTAATTTTAAAATTATTGTTTAAATTATACGTTAACGCGCCCCGTCTAGCCGTTTTGGATTACTAAATAACGTCATGTTTAACTTTCTATTTTAATTACTAGTTGATGGCTGATACCATTTCGTCATTTAGCATTAAAATTTATTTTGATATTTTACAGTGTACTAAGAAATTATACGGGAATTAAATTCGTGGTAGACGAAATATTATCTCACATAGATGATGCTGGAAATGAAGTCGGTTACAAGTAAGTTTATCTAAACAAACAGATCTATAAATTAGATGATATATAAGTATTTAGTTCTCTTTCCGACCAAGTTAATTACAGATAATCAAAATAAAGAGAATCATTGACAGATGTAAAAATATCGACTGCATTTACAAATTAGAGTAAATCGGGACAGATTTAAAGTTGGCGTTACGTATATTTTCCACAAAAGCTGGCGGCTATTAAAGTAACGATGTGCCATTGGCATTTGTCGCTAAACAAGTGATTTCTTGCTATTATATAATAGTTCAAAAATAAATAATGCAAAATTAATATATCCAAAATTACTTTATTCTGAACGACGTTATCGCCGTATGAAGGATTGACAAGATGTGATGTAGATTGTTTTTTATCGTAATAACGGTACTGGGTATTCGAGACTTAGCCTCGTTCGCCATTTTTAAATTAAATCATTACAGTGTTCTTCCTATATTCTACTTATATAATGTATATGTTTTGTAGTTTAGGAGTGACTTCCCAAACTTCCCACTTTAAAATGCTATTGCATTTCAAATGATTTTGAATTTATCCTGATATTACATGTATAAATTATGTCTTTGTAGCTTAGGAGTGACTTATGAAAGATAGGGGTTTTTTGTTTGCAAACTAAATAAGTTGCTTCATTAAATAAAATTTATTATTATTATTATTAAATTTCCGCCATCCGGCAGTCTAGATTGTTGATTATGGGCTTGTCATGTGAATACATGTCTTTATAATAGTTTATATAACTTTAAATGCCAAAATAAAGACCCGCAATAGGCAGATTTAGCTCTTACATGATGTATCTTTAAACAAAACGTATTATATCAATATGAATACCTTTCAGGACAGACCTGTTTGTTCATGGTGTTAAACCAGAAACTGGAAACATTTTAGACTCTACCACTCTAAGAAGGTATGTACACAATCAGTACAGAAAGTAAAAATCGCAACCAATTTAGTAGTCTCGGTCATTCAAGACTCAATTGTCCGGCTATCGTAATTTGAACAAAATAGCATCCATTGCGTATATTGTAAATCGCTGGCGCCATGGCTGTTCAGGCATGCAATTCATACAGTGGCTCATGGAAAATGTTTTTCGCAATGCACCAGTCAACGGTGCATTTTGCATAATTTCAATACAAGGGGAATGTAAATTTTTGCCTCAGCCAAATGAAAGACATACGAAAATCTCATGACATTTGACCTTTGAACTGTCAAGACTACCAATCCAGCAATACCAGGGTCCGTATTCAAAGAATGATAAATGATCGAAAACAAATATATCCTTGACCATTTCGGTGGTGTAACCGTTTACAATATTATTATTATGGCGCTACAACATCAAAGCTGCTAATTAAAACAAATGAGGCCAGCTTCGCTCGGCGAGATTGTCCTCGTTTCAATCTCAGCGCCCATACTTTTAAAATCGCCCTTACCAGCCTGCTGCAACATTGTGTACTCCGGTTAAAAGAAGTCATCATAATCTCACTTAACTTTTAGGTACCTCCCATATAGGTCAATTAAAGTTTAATCACATAAAAACCAACCTGTGTGTCCGGTACAGAAGTTTAAAACTTGCCACTGGAAGTCCAAAATAGTTCAAACCTAGCTATATTTAAACGCCATCTAAAAACCCTGTATTTTGCCCAAACTTTTGAACTTTAATTAAAATGCTTAATTTTCCATTATGTATATTGTAACATGACTATTCCTTTGTATTCTTTTGTTTATTTGTATATACATGTATGTCTTTTTTTATAGTGTTCGATCCCTGCATTGGCCGAGAAATTTCATCGGGATTTTCCGGCGTGGTTTCCCATTGTCAGTGGTTCAGGACGGCGGGCCTGGCAAGGACAGCTGTCTTAGTCATTCGGATGGTACGAAAAACCGAGGACCCGTGTATATATTGCCGTGCACATAAAAGATCACTTGTCAGTTGGAATTCGATTATAATAGTAGGCCATAGTGCAGCTTCCCCGGGAAAAATTTCCCTGAGGGAAATGTATGGCGTGTGCTCGTCTTCTTTAGCCCAGTCGGAGCAGAACAGTAGGACGTTAAACGCCATTTCATTTCATTTCATGTTTTTTATAATCATATTTACATGTGTATTATAAAGCGCCACAGAGCAGTCAGACTGGCTGAATGTTCAGCGCTAAAGAAAATTGCCTTTGAATACCACTTGCTCTTAACTTACAGGAAGTTACGTATATTAAGTGAAATCTAGTAGTTAAGCGACTGGCTTAGACTTAGGTTTCCTTTGAATACGGACCCAGTTGTATATTTTTGCATTTGCTGTAAACAATATACATGTATAACTACGAAAAAAACCAACGGATTCTCACATTTGTTTTTGGTTTTTTTAACTTTCTTGTAGTTTAATAGATAAAGCATCTTCAGAACTTGATGTCATGCGCAGTAAATTTAAAGTACTGCAGGTTGATGTAAGTAATACTTTTAGTCAGCCCTCATAACCCGTGTCGTACACCAGTATAAAAGTGGCGGGAAAACGATTTTTGAAATATATTCAGATTTTTTTCTCCAGTACATTATAAGACAAATGGTGCCTCATGTATTTGTCCCCCTAACAGTGTAGATTTTACATGCCGACATATTAAAGATGCACTATGCAAGATTTGGATAAAGAGCTGATCGTTCTTTCTATAACAGTGCAAAAATCGATAATGGAAAATATTGAAAATATCATTCAAATTACTTTATTCTGAGCCAAGTTATGGCTGTTTGAAGGTATAGCGTGGATTGTTTATTATTGTAGTAACGATACTGGACAACGATTATCCATTTTATAGTTAAATCATAAAGCGATTTATTAAATCGCTGATTGTCAACTCTTTTTTTAAAGGGGTGGGGGGGGGTCAAGTGGCTGAATGGTGAAGACATAGTACATTCCGTCGTGTAAATAAAGCCGTTATTAATAATTACATTGGTGACAGCGTGCGAAGGTTGGGTGGCCGCGTGGATTAACGCGTATCCCTGAGATCATAAGGTCTGTCATTGAGTCAAGGGACGTGGTTTTGATTCCCAGTTTGTATGTGACAAGGACTAGGGTCGCCTGCCTAACTTCGTCAGTATTCTCCGGGTCTTCTGCCCCCCCACCCCCGTCCGCCCACCCACTCACACTGCTATAAAACCCTATGCGCAAGCGAATTATTGAAATAAAATTTAACCATACATTTGTCTATTTGAATCACAATGAATATATATTCGATTGTATTGATATGGGAATTCTTATTGCGGTATATTTTTATAATTTTATGTATAATGTAACAGCGCTGAAGAGCAACTGTAAATATGTATGCACTATAAAATTATTATTAATATTACTAGTTTTAGTATAAGTATTATTTAGCTATGATTTGATCAGGAGAAAGTCTTTTTGCATAGGTGTGACGCAATGTAACGGTTGATTTTTTAATTTTCTGTTTTCAGAATGTTCTGAAGGAAGAACTGAAAGCTGATGACACGAAGAAAGAATATATTTTAATAGCTGTTGTTATATGTTTGGCACTTGTCCTCGTTATAACCATACTTGGATTCATGAGTAACTTTAACAGGTATTGTCTCACCAGGGGGTGGTGGGTTGGGGTGGGGCTTAAAGAGAGAGAGGGAGAGAGAGAGAGAGAGAGAGAGAGAGAGAGAGAGGGGGGGGGGGTGTTAACGTCCAGTCGACACAAACTAGGTCATCTCGGGACCAACACATGGTTCAATTTTATTTCAATAATTCGCTTGCGCGTAGGGGTCTTTAGCAATCTGATTAAAATACAGATCTATATTTCGTTTCGTTTTTTTTTTACTTTCAATGGCCTACACTACATGAAGATCTGACCGGTTGTAAAGATAGGTTGCGTCAGAGGTCATACGAGCGGCTTTTGACCCTATGACGTCAGACATGTGATTAACCAATCAGCATTGATATTACTAGTGGATTACCCACAGTTCCGTGCAAAACACCCATAAAGCTCGCCGTAACAGACCGTTTCATTGGCTAAGCCCTCACACCATTCAGAAAACGTCAATGATAACAACTCTTCCAGATCCTAGTGTAGTAAAGACAAGTAAAACGAAATTTTAAACTATAAAAACGAAACGAAATAGGATCAGATTGGGTCTGTAGCAGTTGGGGGAAACCGGAGGACTCGAAGAAAACCCACGAGTGGCTAAGTGGGTAAGACACTAGCTTGGAGGTCGAGAAAGTTCATCCAGATTTTCCGGCGTGGTTTTTCCCTTGTCAGTGATGCAGAATGGAGGGCCTGACAAGGACAGCTGTCTAGTCGTTCGGATGGGACGAAAAACCGAGGTCCCGTGTACACATTGGCGTGCACGTAAAAGATCCCTTGGCAGTTGAAATTCGATATAAGAGTAGGCCGCAGTGCCGCTGCCCGGGCAAAATTTCCCTCATAGCACACTGTATGGCGTATGCCCGTCTTCATTAGCCCAGTTTAGGAGCGGAACAGTAGGACGTTAAACCCCAATTTCATTTCAGAAAACCCACGAGGTTGGACAACCGGGAAATCGAAACCCCGCCAGTTGACTCAATGACAGACCGTATGATACAGCTCGCGCGTGCTAACCATTCGGCCAGATTTAATCTCTATACTATTATTATTCAAATCAAATCACTTTCCTTGATGTTTACTTCAGATTTAAAAGAAAATTAAAAGCTGCTGCTATTAATGTCCACAATAAAGGTTAGTATCAATTTTATCATTAAAGTTAACCGACATAAACTTGCTACATGATAGTCTGGCTTACAAAATTGTTTACATTATAAACATTTTATGTCTGATATATAATTATTTTTGCGTGTATAATTTACGGTTTACAAGCAACAGAATATTCATCTCAATGATTATCTTTCGTCAGCATCTTTACATTTGTCCCAAAGGATTATTTTCTGCTCAAAATTCATAGTTATCAATTTTTACATAACATTAGCTTTAAAGATAAAATATAGTTTTATCTCACAGTTGTGTACTTAAATAAAATATAGTTTAAATTCACTGTATTATACTGATATAAAATATAGCCTTAACCCAAAGTATTATACTGAAATAAAATATAGCTTTAACTCACAGTAGTATACTGAAATAAAATATAGCTTTAACTCGCAGTAATATACTGAAATAAATATAGCTTTAATCCACAGTAGTACATTGTATACTGAACTAAAATATAGCTTTAACTCGCAGCAGTATACCGACCAATCTGATTAAAACACAGATCCTATTTCGTTTCGTTTTTATAGTTCAAAATTTCGTTTAACTTGTCTTTACGTAGGCCATAGAAAGTATAAAAAAACGAAATGCTATATAGATCTGTATTTTAATCAGATTGTATACCGATATAAAATAAAGCTTTAACCCACGGAAATAAATAAAATATAGCTTTAACTCGCATTAGTATACTGATATAAAATATAGCTTTAATTCATAGTAGTATACTGATATAAAATATAGTTTTACCTCACAGTAGTATACTGATAAAAAAAATATAGCTTTAACCCACAATAGTATAGTGAAATAAAATATAGCTTTAACTTTCAGTAGTATACTGAAATAATATAGCCTTAACTCATAGTAGTATACTGATATAAAATATAGCTTTAACTCAGAGTAGTATACTGATATAAAATATAGCTTTAACTCGCAGTATTATACTGAAATAAAATGATTGGCTATTTTCAGGTAAAGACAGTACAGATTCGAATCCTTTATATCAGAAGACATATAGAACGTAAGTATTATGATATGATTTATTTTTATGATCTAAATACATACTAGAAACATATTTTGATATCTCCTTGTCATGCAGTTTGACAGTTTAATTTCGTAAACGATATTTCGGTTACGTTGTAATAAGACACTGAAAGATATTTCCTTTACATTGTTATCTCTTCACTGAGGTTTTAAGTATAGCAATTAATTATAAATTATAGCAATATTTTGATATCTGGACGTCTATGTTTATCTGAAGGTAAATTAATGTTTTCAGATTAAATTATTTTATTCTCAACACGTATATGAATTCAAGGCCTTTCCGGTCTCCTTTAGACCCACATCTTCAATCACATGTCTTGTTATTGCTGTCAATACCCCATTTTTTTTTTTTTTTTACCGAATTTGAGTATCCTAGTAATATAACGTCTAGATAGCCGACGGGAAGAATTCTAAAACTGAATGGTAACGATATCCTCGATAAAAACCACTATTTTTAATTCCGTCATTAAATTATAGAGTTTTTGTTTTCAATCAAATTAAACTAAGGGGTTAGTTTTGTGTCGTACATTCGATCAAGAAAGTTGAATGCCTTTGAAAACATCATAATAAAACCTTGACCTTGGTTACCTGGTCAAACAAATGTCTTGATAATCGGATAATCGGAATTTAAAAAAAAAATGAAATTGGGTTTAACGTCCTACTTTTGTAACATAGAATCAAAGGACCTACTGATAACGATGACTGTAGATTTGACTTCTTTATTTCAACAATGCAGGAACATACATTAAAAGTCATTATATCTCTAATTTTAACAACCATTACAGCACACAGGAACATAACATATCATAACAGATTGTAATCTTTACGGCCATCGTCCTAATTCATGTCTGCCTCCACTGTCACATGCAGGCGTTCTGTCTTGTACAGTGGTCGGTCTGGTTTTCCGAGTTATGCTCCTACCTGATATCAGTTATAACGAAATGAAATGAAATGAAATGGGGTTTAACGTCCTACTGTTCTGCTCCTAACCTGGGCTAATGAAGACGGGCATACGCCATACAGTGTGCTATGAGGGAAATTTTGCCCGGGCAGCGGCACTATCGCCTACTCTTATATCGAATTCCAACTGCCAAGGGATCTTTTACGTGCATTCCAATGTATACACGGGACCTCGGTTTTTCGTCTCATCCGAATGACTAGACAGCTGCCCTTGTCAGGCCCTCCGCCCTGCATCACTGACAAGGGGAAACCACGCCGGAAAATCTGGATGAACTTTCTTGGCCAATGCAGGGATCGAACACCCGACCTCCAGGCTAGCGAGCCAGCGTCTTTCCCACTTAGCCACGTGATCCCCGATATCAGTTATAACGGTCAAGGTGTTATCAACAAACTTATTAGTATTTAACAGCCATTCACAGGTTATAATAAATATATATTGGTAGCCTTCATTTAACGGGCAATCATATAATATTATCTAATAATATGAGGAGATAGTGACCAATTACTTAACTTAATTAATGCATGTGTAACACAGACAAATACTTATTGTATCTCCAACTCACTCTAGCTTAATATTATGTAATAGTTTCCCTCTCCATCTGGGTTAATGAAGACGGGCACGCGCCATGCATTGTGATGTTGTGCCACGGTCTACTCTTATTCCATCTTTCCAGGGTTCTTTAACGTACACGCCAATGTGTTCACTGGACCTCGTTTTTTAATACCATTAGAAGACTATAGTAAGCACTATTTCTTGCAAAGGACATCTGTCCTGTATCCCTGACAGGGGGCAACCACGCCGACAAAAAATCTAATTGGATTATCGAATCCTTTCAAAGATTTCGCTGAATTGTCTGTATTGGGAGTTTTGAATGGTCGGTTGAAATGAAATCGACATTACATGTGTGGAAGTAACAGACGAAAAATAAGATGGGGCAAAATGTTGATACTAGTCTAATTTGACTGGATATTTATTTTATTTCAGGGATAATCCAATTTTTGAAAAGGATATTGATATGGAACCCTCGAATGATAATACCAGGTACACAAACAAAACCACTATATATAAAAATAATCTTTCCAAAAACTTGCACAATTGGATCTACACCTATATGAATATAATGGAATGAAATTAGGTTAGGCGTCCCCAGAGCTCTTTACTTATTTTGACTCTAATAAATGAGTATTTGTTTATTTATCACTTATAACTTTGTCGAATTTTGTCAGTATCCTTGTGTTAACTAACTCTACGTGATCAATCAATCTGATTAAAACACAGATCCAATTTCGTTTCGTTTTTTATAGTTCAAAATTCCCCGTTACTTGTGGAGACGATCGAAAGTATAAAAAACGATACGAAATATAGATCTGCATTTTAAATCATATTACGTTATCAATATATAAAAGGTGGGATTTAACAACACTATAAATTTCAAAATTACAAACGTATATACAAATATAGTTATAAGATTGGGTGTTAAACATGTTATTACTTCGTTCGTGTGGCAATGATAATACAGATGTACAATAGCTTTAAGATTCGATGTTTAATACCATATTTCTTAGATCCAGGCTTAGTTCGTTCAATGTGCAGAACTATTCGCTTGTTTTAGAGTTGTTAACTAGATGTTTGTTTTTATTGTAATATAACCGATCTGTACATATTTTATTTACAGTTATGTAAGCGATTCTATTGACGCCAATGAAGTATATGCTAAAGTTAAAGGTACACATGAAACTGGTGAAGAAGAAGTGACCCTTGATCTGTATGATGAATTAGATAATGGAGTATCTCCAGTTTACTCTTCTGTATTTTTAAACGCAGCTTTACGACAACACGAAAAAGAGAAATTGGCCAAACCTGGTCAGCCAAATCGAACTGTACATTTAAATATGACTAGAGATGTCAATCTTGCTGATCTGGAATCAACAGAAATTTAAACGTAAAAACATATAACAGAATCATAGTTTGCTTTCTTTTTGTTTCTATTGATGAAAAGAAAAATTACCGCCAGATTTTATAGCTTTAAATCAATATTGAAAACTGAACTTCATCGGCGCTCATGATTTTAAGGCTACGACAATTTAGCGTTTAGTATAAGAGCATACACTATTAAAAGTAGGCCTACTTTTACTGAGACTATCATAATACAACCATATGTAGACCTACTTGTATTGAAACTATAATAATGCAACCAAATGTAGATCTACTTGTATTGAGATTATAATAAAACAACCAAGTGTAGGCCTACTTTTATTAAAACTATAATGATACAAACAAAATTACGTTATTGTAAAATATTTTGATCAATAGATGAATATACAAAACGATTATTTCTAACTGATGTTATGGTTATTATATGTTTATGTTGGTTTCTATAGATTTCACGCAGCCATCTTTATTTCTCATGGACAAATACAGTATTAATAACTGTGCCGTCTTTTTCGTCAAATCCTGCCCTTTCTACCCAAAGGTCTTTCTGTACTCATATGTGCTTCTCATTAAAATAATGCATATTTTTGACTCTCGTCAAAGGAGCATATTTCGCTAATTACCGTGTACATAACCGAGACTTTCTCGCACGTTTTCTGTATATTCATTAATGCACACTATCAGGGTTATTTGTCGAATTCCCATTGGCCTGCGGTAATACATTCAATTAAACAAATTACGATGGTCTGGTAGACGCTAAAGTTTCATTCTGAATAGAAAACATGTACCTTCTATCGTTCTTTTTGGCAAAAACATTACAGGTCTGTCGAATTTTCATTTGAAATTGTCTTAATGCATTTTCGTGCATCGAGAACGTTGTTAATAGTTGAACCTCTACAGCCATGTGTGCAATACAAGTTCAACAGGAGCAACCAAGACATAAATTGTAAATCTAAACATTGATGTAAATAGTAGAACATACCAAAATAAGTACCTACATGTCAATCCGCGATACGATTTAGTAATCTGTGTTCCGGGTTTGCCTCTGCTGTCACGGTTGCCGGTAATAGGGCTTGGGTACAACACGGACCTTATAATACATAAGGCCCATGGGTACAATTTTCATCTCAACCGATTGGCTCCGGCGTTATGTTTGCTATATGCGTTACATTATGTAAGATATAAAGAGCTGGTCGTTCTGTCTATACTAATTACAAAATAGATAATAAATATATAGAATATTTCAGTCAAACTACATTATTCAGTTTTGACAACAAATAGCCATAAACAGTCACAGACGATGCCGAGAATTGCCGATCGCCTGCAACAGGCAGATCGACATAATGCCAATTAATACGGGGTTTACGACGGCTTTAACCTTGATACAACAAAACATCTGAGTTGCTAAATATATTTCCAAATGCAGGATTTTTGATAACAGATACGGGTTATTTAATCAGATGATAGATGCCACTATATTTAGCCTTCCATAACAAACTCACTGTACAACAGAACGCTTAAAAAAAACATTGCCATGACACTGTAACGGCGACAGCCAATTTTCGTACACCGACGAAACTTCCCCCAATAAAAAATCACATATTGTGCGCTATCACTGACAGATACTCTTTGGTGTGTGCAGATCATTTGGAGGCAGACCGCCATTAATTTCCATTTGACTTTAATGTTAATTCTGGTCTCTTTGTCCGTCTGAACACTCTCCACCACAGACGGAACACCATCTAGTCATGGCATGTCTTGTTTCAAACTTTATGAGGTTGGCCATAGAAAGGGTTTTACATATCACTACATTTTATGTACATATACGATTTATTTTCCATTGTCAGCATTACCTTACAGATAATAAATAAAGAAATAAATGCTTAGATTTTCCTCTTTTTTTCTTCACTATATCGAATGATAGCGTTGTAGTACACTGGAAAGTCCCCAGTGGTCGTCACAATTGAGCAACCAAATCCTCCGTTCTAGTGTGTATCTAAACATACTGCAAGTAAGGAGAAGTACTTTTCGAACTTTTCTAGGGGAGGGTATCTGGCGACCTGTCCCTCAATCCGCCTCTGGTCAGGCTCCGTCGGCTTATGACCAGAGGCAAGGCTGTGAGAAATAATACATATCCGTTGATTAAATAACGAAACAAAACTCAGGCAAGAAGCTCCTTGGGATTATCTAGATGGTTTGATTTGCATTAAAGATACTGTCTCAGATATATTTGTGTGAAAACCTCATAGAAACCGTCATCCTGTAACTTCCTGAAACATGCCTGATTGCACTTATCACTTACTTGAAGGGCTTACGTGTAGCTAACAATAAATATAAGGAGTGACATGGGAACCCGGTCGACTGGGTTGGAAATGAAATGAAATGGGGTTTAACGTCCGACCAGTTTTAACATGTGGTCCTCAAAAAGCATAATTTGCCAACCTACATAATTCGAGCGACATTTTTGAGGTATGTACTCATCTAATTCATCACATCACTGGTTACTTGACGCCTTTACAAAGGATGTTTCGGGGTTTGAAGAAAATCTAACAGACAGAAAATATTTGGGGCTTACCATAAAAACTTCACTCATCAACAATGGAAGTCTGACTATGTTTGATTTTTGAGGATATAACCATTTGGACATGTATTTTTAAATTGCTGAAAATATGACCGGCTATGATTATCAAGGGAGTTAACTCTTAGTGACAAAACGAGTTGTGGTTCTTGGTTGCATTTTCAAACTTTTCTCTGTAACGAATACTTATTCGGGATTCTTCGGCTTTTTAACGTACGTACAAATAACGATAGAATTTAATGTTTGTACGCATGGGCAGCCCTTAATTTTGAACACGAGAGAGAAATGAAACTAAACAATCCAAATATCAATTACATTTATCAGATACATTTTCGGCTGATTTTTATAAATGCACTAGACCAAAACTTTCGAATAACGGAAAAAATTCGTAGTTTACCATATAAACGCAATATGCAGAAAGTTCTTCCGTACTCATATTGTAGATGTTAAATATCCTTTATAACAATCATATTATGTTTCTAATAATTATCACAGCCAAACATGACACACACACTAAAAGATTAGAATTCGAGCGCTATGGCCAGTTCCGTAATTTTACTTTAACATACAAGTCTGGTTAATACATTTCGTTCAGTTAATTTCCGGTCTCAATATTTTTGCGTATTCTGAAGCTAGCATTAACGTAACTTTTAAACTCACTAAGGTGGCAACTAAACAACACAAGGTTTTATGGTTAAATAAAAGTAAATTTCACAGTCTTATAGTGTCGATAAGTTGCTGCGAGAGTGAGTTTAAAAGATATGAAAAGCGACAAACTACACGAATTGACTCTGAACCGAGAACCGTTACATTATATACGTCATTGGACAATCAGCTAAATAAGAAATAAAATCGCCGACTTTGCTCATTTACCTTGTGGCGATTACACACATGAAACAGGCTGATAAGAATGTCAGTTTTTTTAGCACAAATATTTGAGAACTGTGAACCACTCTACTTTAGATTCACTTGAAAGTTTTCAGACCACGGTAAATACTAATAATCACTACATAAATATACTAGAAAATGACAGGAAACAACAATTGCCCCCATCCCACCCCATAACACACTCACACACACAGATTTAGCTCTTGCATAATGTATGTTTAAAGTCTGACATCCCGCGCAGCGCCACTGAATATAAGTTGTACAGAATCTCATATTATTTTTACCTGTAACTATTTTCTTTCAGAGGATTCTACATTGTTTTGATTGCTGATTGGCCATGCAACCTGTGGACATCCTCATTTTACTGTACTTAGTTTAATCTTGGTTTATGTGATTTAGTCAGTAATGAACTTACCTGGTTTGTGACGATGGAAGTTCAACCGCATTTTCTCCCTAGATCTTTGCCTTCTGTTAGTAATACAAAATCAACCAATGACCTACTTCCGACCATCTCTGAACGGTAAATCACGCGTGAGAACTTAACAATGAAAGGGAAAAAACGAAACGAAATATTAATAATATAGTTATGTAAGGACTATATACATTCAATTTTTGATTGATACAAACTAAAAAGAAAAAAAAAGAGATCACTGTTATGGTTTTCGTACAACGAATAATATCCACGCGTGATATAGAGTAACCCTTAATTTGACCTCCAAATATTTACCCTCATTTAGATATAATTCACTATGATTGCACTCGTTATCCGAATTCCAGTCATCGTAGCTGCTGAAACGCCATTTAAATTTAATATTGGTATGATATTAGATGAATATTTTAGTATTTATTTTGGAATTCCAGTCATCGTAGCTGCTGAAAAGCATTTAAATTTAATATCGGTATATTAGATGAATATTTTAGTATTTATTATGGAATTAATTACGGATATAGCGATTAATTATGTTGACGAACCTGGTGATAATGATGATAGATACTTATTATTATGATGGTCATATTATCGGTGAATTAGACAAATTGTGATAATCAATAATGGCACTGTGTCGATCAGTATTTGTGGTAGTTGTTATTTTCGCATTTGTACTGCAATGAAAGTGATATCTGTTCATTTTTTAGGACAAAGTTAAACTATTTTAAGTGCTTAGTAGCATTACCCTTCGACAAGATATCGTGAAAAGACAGAGAAATTCGATTAAAAAAGGGTTGCAAATAACGAAAACGGGTGGAGAATTACTCTCTGCCACCCGGGTGGCCAATATCCTCTGCCATCATTTAAAGCAACAATATTATTAATTTATGGAAACCAACTACGTCAGACTTTAAATGGAGTTAAAACATACTATAATTTGGTCATCCTCCTATTGAATCGTGTTAACCTCCATATTTCTCAAATACAATCTGTGTAATTTATAGCTACATAAAGATTCCTTATGTGGATTATTATGAGGCGTAATTGATCAACAACAATAGCAATCTAAATATTGCTATACCTACTGCGTAGACTTTATATTAAGTAAAAAAGGAAAGGTGGATCATTATATTTTATGCCAGATAATATTTCTGTCTTTACGTGATTGTCTGTGGGCGAGAAGAAAGGATAAAAGACGCTGTTCTGATTGTAACCGCCAATTTCAACCTCCGAGTTACGAGTTTTATATAAGTATATGGTTTATTCGAAATTGTTCAGCTTCAAGATGAAAGTGAACACTTTGACGGGTCTGGGTTTACTTCAAATAACATTAACTTTACTGGTAGTAGTCAGTAGTGAAAAGAGATTAAGGGGTAAGTTGTTTTTGTTTTGTTTTTTTATTGTGGTTTTTCCTATCTTGATTTAGTTATGTTTTGGGGAACCGATATCAGTTTATTATTTTAAATCGTGTTTCTGGATGTCGATTTTGGGGTTGTTTTCAGTTTTCTGGGTTATCAATACTTCTGCTAAAAGCCATAGACTGGTGCGGGCCTTCCGAGCATCATTAATACTTCGTTTCGGTTTAATCAGGTGAAACGTGCGGGTGTCATTTGACTTCATCTCTTTCACTCCAGTTTCCATAAAAACGGAAATTAGTCCATGATTATAAGGCAACTATAGTATTATCTTGGAGGTCAGTATAAACGCTGCCATGACGTTATTTTATGACATTTATTTTATTGATGAGAGTTTGTTAGGCGGTGTCAGGTCACTAAAAGGCATGACAACAGAGACGTTTCTGTATTTAATATGAGGTATGGATATTCCTTGTTGAACGAGCGCCTTATGATAGGTTGTATCTATGACTGCACTCCACTAAGACTTAATTAACTGTTAGATATCAAATCATTATATATATTGCAATCTCAGAAATTGTGTTTGATAATGACAATATGGAGGACACTGACAAAAGAACGTTTGTTTAAAAGTATACAAATGCCAAAAAATGAAGCGATAATTGCATTTTTAAAATAGGCCAATGTTAAAATAAAGCCTTCAAATAGATGGCGGCTATACACAGTCTTACCTTGTTACAGAATAATCCTATTAATCCTTTAGTTCACTAGTGTTTGATTTTGAAAGCTTCATTTTAGCCGTCATAATAAATGACGTCATTTATCAAAACAAGGGAGGTAATTTTGCTTCAGTTAAACAAATAACATTATCTTTTTCTGTGTGGGCGAGTAGAAAATATTTCATTTTTTATGTGAATGTTTTAAGTGCTAGAATGAATCCTATGATTGTATAAAGGTGGTTTGGCAACCCATTAAGCAACATATATAAAAATTCTTGTTTTCACTTCCTTAGAAGGGTAAGTGAGTAAGACGCTGGATTTCTAGCGTGGAGGTCACGGTTTCGCTCCCTGCGTTGGCCGAGTGAATTCATCGGAATTTCCAGCGTGGTTCCCCCTTGTCTGTGGTGCAGGAAAGAGCGACTGGCAAGGGACAAAGTATAGTCGTTCGGATGGAACGAAAATCCGAGGTCCGTAAAAGATCCCTCATAACATTTGATATTCGATAAAACAGTAGGCCGTAGCGCCGCTGTCCGGGCAAAATTCCCGCCCTCATTAGCCCAGTCGGAGCAGAACATTGGGACGTTAAACCCCATTTTATTTCTTTCTTAGAAAATATGAAATTATCGCTTTAAAGCTTCAGCTCAAATTATTATGTCATTTGGAAATGACTACGTAACTCTTATAGAGCGTTTGTCTACAATTTTATCATTTTTTAACCTGATAATACCGACTATTTGATACCTTTTGCAAACTTTACAAGAGGTAAAAGAAATCACAATAGACTGCAAAATTCAATTTTTCGTGGTTGGGTCTCTCCACTGCTAAAAGACACCAACGCCAAGCGAATTATTGAAATAAAATTGAACCATATGTTAGTCCCGAAATGACCTAGTTTGTGTCAAGTAGACGCTAACACACCCCAACTGTGGCGGTATATTAGATTCAAAATTCTATAATCCAATTTCTTTATTTGATTTGTTTAGCGTAAATTTTGATTCTATTTCATTTTATTTCTATTATTAAGGCGAACAATGTCTTCTCCATTGAAGCTTTACATCTTTAGTGGAGCGGCTTGGTGAAATTTATGTTCACATCTGGCAGAAAGGCTGAAATTTGGCACAAACATAGCCTAACACCTACTAATCATAAAACAAGCAGGAGGCAACAGTTCCTCAAAGTGCATCCTGCTTTTTTGGGACAAAAATGCAAAAATTGTGTTTTTCACGTAAATAAATTTTTAAAAATTGTTCACATCTGGCAGAAAGGCTGAAATTTGGCACAAACATAGCCTAACACCTACTTATCCTAAAACAAGCAGGAGGCAACACTTCCTGAAAGTGCATCCTGCTTTTTTTGGGACAAAAATGCAAAAATTGTGATTTTTACGTAAATCTATTTTTAATTTTTTTTTATCAAGGCTTAAGACACCTAATGAAGACCAATTATGAAAATTATTAATTTAGGGATTATTATTAGGCACTGAGGAAGTAAATAAGTGATGTTACTCACCACAAGTGCTTGATTTTACTGTGCACATTCTCCAGAACAGGAACACAGGTGTGTGCACCGAAGACCTGCTTTGCAACATCTACACTGTCCACTGCAGTTGGTCTTGCATCCACATTTGATCAGTATTTAGGAACCCATGATGTCTCTTCACGAGTCCAACCCCAATCCGATGGGCAAGGAATGACTGGGTGTTTGTCGAGAGTTTGTCCCCATATGTGGCCACTCTGGGAGGCTGCTCTTTTGGCATGCTGGATCAATGCGTCCTGAGTTGGTGGAATGTTTTCAATATTCCTATCACCTTGGGTGAACGGACTCATGCGTGCCTCATTCACAGTGAGTATGGCCAAAGTGTGTTTGTACATGGCCACAGTAAATCGCTCTAGCTGACACATTACTGCCTGAACATAGAACAAATTTATCTCCCACTTGCTGTGGTTAATTATGACTGTAGGTTGTAATTATGTTCTGTGAATAGCCACGTTCTATTATGATCTTCCATATGAAAAAGAACAAATACATAATAATATATGAAAATGTCATGTTTTAAAAATGGCTTTATTGACTCTTATCTACGTTCTGTCTTACGTGGTTTTGAAACTGCAGTCATTTTTGCTCTAGAGTGTGTTTTTATTTTATATAATCTGGTTTGGGAACGAGATATTTCAGTGGAAGTGCAAGTCGTTGGGTAATTAAGCCGGTGAAAAGCAATCTAATTATATTAAAATATTGAATAATTATTGTTCATTCATTAAAGTATTATATAAACTGTAGCTAAAACGGTTGACAGCAGGGTTGTGTACTTGCACTGTGTACCATAGTAACCTTTACCCGACAACATTGTAATTCATATGGGAAATAATAATATGTCACCTACCTTGTCACTAACGAGAAAATATAGGATATAGTACACTGACTTCCATATTGAGTAAATCGACGATTCGCGCAAGATTTGGAGCCAAAATCAGCCTCGGTGAAAACAGTTTGCAGTTCTGGTCGTGCATTGCTGAAACTATTTCAGATTAAATAAAAGAAAATATAATGTCAACTAGAAAATCTACATATTAGGCTAGCCTTATTTCCCAAATATTTCACGGCATTATTACGACTATCATGGGAATCGTTCACTCTGCGAATCATTTCTCATTGATTGTTTCGATTCAATATTAGACGAACGGGATTTGTGTGTTACTTTTCACTTCCCCATTGACATTTTGCCTCGTGCATTCAGGCCCGTAGTTAGTGGGGGGGGGATTGGGTGCGCCAATTTTTCCAGGGGAGACAGCTTACCCTCTTGCCCCACCCCCCACCCCCGCTAGCTATGTGCATTCAGACCCGTAGTTAGTGGGGGGAGAGGTGGGTGCGTCAATTTTTCCAGGGGAGACAGCTGACCCTCTTGCCCCCCCCCCGCTAGCTACGGGCCTGGCATCAACCCGCAACCACCCCACCCCCAACCCGACTGTAATGTCCAAGAATGTGGATGATACTGAGTTTGAACTTTACGCCCTTTTAGTTTCCCAGTGTTGCTGCCCGGTGGCCACAAACCCCAGTCACTTTCGCCTACGCTGCAAAAGGTACATACATAATAATAAACTTTAAACACGTTTTATAGATATATGAAATTCAAAACAAAATGACAAAGAGCAAATGCGGGCGCAAGAAAATGAAATGTTGACAGCCAGACACTATGAGGTTGTTTTGCTACATTAAATGATAGGAACCAGATTTTGTGTCATGAATTTCAACTAAAACGTAACTGCTATTCCATCGAGAAGTGCCCCATGTGTTATTGGATGATTTTTATAAACAATTCGGTTCTACTAATCGCCGACAGGGCTAGTGGTTTGTTTAGTCAATGGGGTTAAATTTGCTGTAGTGCCCACTGGTTTCTATTTATATCCAGACTGTCTGTTTACAGATATGCAAATATCCCACTAGTTGAACACATTATTTATGTTCCATGTTTATTTTTGTCTTTCAGCAACCACATTAAATTGTGTACAGTGTAATTCTATGTTTGATCCAAGTTGTGATTATAATTATATAAAAGAACCAACACCCTGTGCCCCGACTGATCACTATTGTTCCATGTTTGTCGTGCTAGTTCAAGGAGGTAAATAAACATCTCATCATTATGGATAACATCTGCATTCCCTTTCGGGAGATCGGTGGCCCAGTGAGTAAGACGTTGGCTCTCTATCTTGGAGATCCCGTTTTAGAATCCGGTGTTGGCCGAGAAACTTCATGGGGATTTTCCGACGTGCCCCCCTCCCCCTCCCCCGTCAGCGGTGCACGACGGGGGCCTGGTAATCGACACGTTGGCTTGTACGTAAATAACCCTTGGTAGTTGGAATTCGATATAAGAGTAGGCTGTTGCGCCGCTGTCCGGGAATCCTTTTTCGCATAGCACACTGTATGGTGTATGCCCGTCTTCGTTAGCCCAGTTGTATGCCGTTAAACCCCATTTCATCATGTTATTCCCTTCCATGCCAACAAAAACAAGATCGTGCTTGCTAATAGAGAGAAATATTTCTTTATACCTAACCGTCATATTAACTTTTAGTTGACATATCTGGAGAGTAAGGAGTCAATGACGTCATGAAACAAGAAGAAATCTGGAATGTCGAAGCATTGGCATAAATTATATGAAATGTGATGTTGCCAAGGCGTTATCGTAAACTGGTTGGTCAATGTGGTTTAGCATTCATTCCTAAAGGGTACTGTAGTCAATACCGTGCGTGTCAAAGCGCAAAAAAAAGAATCTGATTTTACTGCCTTGGATCTTGTTTATTACAAATTTAACGTCCTGGGCCCTGTTTCTCGAAATCTTAACTAAAGATAAAATCCAAATTTTAGTAGAGACTTCAATTCTGATTGGCTAAGCCCTAAAACCAATCTAATATTATCCAATCAAATTACTAAAATTTGGATTTTATCTTAGTTAAAATTTCGTGAAACAGGCCCCAGTACATAAGGTCCGCGGATTTAGCCCGCTTTTATTCCTATATACGCAACTGGTGTCATGACAACACTACGCGGATTTAATCCGCTATTATTCCCATATACGCAACTGGTGTCATGACAACACTACCCAGAGAACCCACTAAATAAAATACATGTTTTGTGAAATATATTCAAACGTATTTATATTGTATATTTTAGATCGTGCAGTTGTTAAACGATGTAACACTGATGCTTATACAGGCTGTGTCATCAGACGAGTTGGAAGTGTCAACGCCACTGTGTGTTATGAAACTTGTGATTTTGATGGTTGCAACAACAGCAATCTTATGAACAGAATATTTTAAGCACAACGATTTTCATTGGTATAAATTTATATGTAAACATGAGAAATAAGTCATTATGTTACCATAATACATTCTTTCGGAATACATTCCATTTTTAACGCCGATCTTAATAAAACTAAAATTAATCATGTCAGTCAATTGGCCAACTCAAATCATTTCGAAACATTTTCTAACTCTTCAGAATACATCTTTATTCCAGCGAGCTTCTTGCTATATATTTTTATTGTCTCAAATTGAAGAACTCAGGATATGGAAACAAAAACAGCTCGTTTATTTTTACTTAGATATTTCTTCATTATATCATGTTTCCTGTACCGTTACATCTGTGGGCATTATAGGGATTCGTAGAGAGGAGATCTATATGTACGTGTACGATTACCATATGTAATTTATAAATACCTATTTTTGATTATTTAATAAAATATATAGGCTAAAATTTAGTCTAATAATTCAATTGATAATAAATCTGTCTTTTTGTACTAGCCTAGTAATATCACTCTGTCGGGTATGTTAATATTCAGTAGATGTAACTTGGTTTATGTGCTACAGTTGACCCCGAGAACGTCACCAGAGAAGATTTTTTTAAATGTAGGTTAAGACACAATGAAATCCAATGCCTTCTGGTCGGTTACCATTTATCAGATCAGAATGCAACTCAAGTCACTAGAAACAAGAACCGATTTGGAGCACTTAAGCATATATGTACCGAACAAAAATACCAATCCGTTGAACCATCTCAATCCTGATGATAACTAAAGATATATTGCTGAAATATATTTAATAGTTAGTACAGGGGTGGGGTGGGGGCACACCACACACAAACAATTACACAAGACAAGTTTACTGACAGGAAAAAATATACAGACGCCGCAAACGCACATATCAGATCGGGTGAATGAGTCCGGTGACTAGCCGTTAGTGTCCATTGCGATATACAATCCCGGGCCTGTAGTGATACAGACTTCACTTCAAACGTAAAACAAAACAGCAATAAGGGACACAACTCAAGAAAAAAGTTGATATTTCCGAAACGTTGTATCATACTAGTTTGAGTACTGGACTTCGATTTTCTAAAAGAAATCTCAATGTAGGCACACTGGATATACGTGTAAGGGCAGCGCGGCAACTGCCTCGTGCTTTTGAGATGAGTCGGCCAGCGTGTTGATGGGAGGTGTGTGTGTGTGTGGGGGGGGGGGGTATGGGTACTGTAGCTTCTCCGTGCATCTCTAAATATGGGTAAGACTTGAAAGTTTGTTTTTAATGGCGAGTCGTCAAAATTCTACTGGGTTTATTTTGTTCCGTAAAATATGAGTTGTCAATAGGAAATAGAATTTAAGAAATATTTAGGAAAAAGATGCGCTTGAAACTGAAAACAAATGTTTGGGAGTTTAGCTCTTTCGACCCAGAATGAATGCTTCTGTTGATAGCTACAGGGATAGAATTGCAAACAAATTGCAAAATATTTGGGGGGCTTATTAACTATAGAATGATAAATATGTATTTGATTCCACAAGTAGCTTTTAAAGGCTCGTCGAAATAGCAAATTATGAGTTGCCAATGGGAAAAGAATGTATAGAGCCTCGCTGGCTCACTTTGTATAAGACACTGACTCTCTAACCTGGAGGTCCGGAGTTCAGCCTTGTTAATGTTCGAAAAAGTTCCCCAGGTTTTCCAGGCCGGTTTCCCGTTGCCAGTGGTGAAGGGTGGAGGGAAATGAAATAAAATGAAATGGGGTTTAACGTCCTACTGTTCTATTCCAACTGCCGACTGTGCTAATGAAGACGGGCATACGCTATACAGTGTTCTATGTGGGAACTTTTGCCCGGACACCGGCGCTATGACCTACTCTTATATCGAATTCCAGCTGCCAAGGGATCTTTTACGTGCACGCCAATGTGTATGCGGAACTTCGGGTTTTCGTACCATCCCAACGACTAGACAGCTGCCCTTGTCCGGCGATCCGTCCTGCACCACTGACTAGGGGAAACCATCGGAAATCCCGATGAACCAGTGGAGGGGGGGGGGGGGTACTGGCAAAGGTAGGCCTACGACGAAACTCTGAGGCCCAGCGTACACGTTGGCGTGCACGTTAACGAACCCCTGGCAGACGAACAGTAGGCTGAAGTGTCGTTGTGCAGGCAAAATTTAACTCATTTCACACTTCCTGGCATATGTGTGTCTACATCATCCCGATGGTACAGAAAAGCAGGACGGTAAACCCCACTTCATTTCACTTTACTCCCTATACCCCGAAAGATTGCTTCTTCTGGTAGCTTTAAAACATACGAGTTCAAGTTCACAAAACGTTTCGGTGCTCTACAACGACCCATATACCCCAGCTGTAGACTCCGTTACAAGATCTTTCATCCACCACACCCATTAGCACTTCATGCCGCGACCGTCCCACCAAGCCACTGTCCGCGTGCTCATGTGGCATGGACAGAATCAATACAGAAAACCGAGAAAACTGTTTGGACTAAGCGGGAAAACAGTTTGGATTAAGACTAATAATTATGTAGTGCGAGTTACAAATCGACAATTTTCCCCTTTTTTTCTCGCCTTTTCCAACAATTTTGGGTTGACTTTTCGGTCTACAAATGGAGAAAAGGGATCAAATTTGCAATTTCACAGCAGGTTTAGGGAAAACTTATGCAGCGGCTGGATAAGGGGTGTAAAGAGTCTTTGCGCAGAGCAATCATTGCGTCGGAAGTGAGATTTTGCCCCATTCAGCATCAAATCCTCCTAGGAAAAAATCTAAACAGTCAACCCTCTACAAAATTATAATGAAGATGGTGCCAAATGCGGTCCTCTGTGTGCCTATAAAGACTGGAAGCAACGGAATGTTGAGCAAAACGTTACAGCTTGTGATGTTACAACCATTAAACGTTGAAGTCAATGGGCAAATAATTGATAAAATTCAAAATTCTCATCTTAACTTTTAAATGTCTCCATGACCAAGCACCTCTTTATATTTCAGAACTACTAACAACGTGGGTTCCACAGGGGTCCACTCGTCAGGCTACGTTTGAAGGGGAGGGGTTAGACTAAACCTTATACCAGAGTATATCGGGTGTGACTTCTATGGATCCCGTGCTTTCTCTATTGCTGCACCCACTCTTTGGAATAACCCGCCACTCAACATTCGCACAATAGACACTTTAACCTCTTTTAAAAGGGCCCTAAAGACCTTACTTTTTAAAGAATATTACTCAGTAAATTTTTATTAAATGTTGTAAATCATTTTATTTAAATCTCTTATATTGTAGTACTTATTATACCTTTCTTAACTTTTATAATGTTATTTATATGTTTTATCTTGTATATTTTTGCATTTTATTTGTATTTTACTCTGTAAAGTCCATCGAGGTGTATATGTGATTGACTATAATCAATAAATTATTATTATTCTAGTCTGAATCCGTTTCCAACTAAATGAAGTTACCTCCCTTTTTATTGCACTTGAATTCCAGTCTATTTTACACATTTTTGAAACCAAACAGTTCACAGCTTTGTTTGCCAGTTTGCTAGGGGTGGTTTACGGACCCTTTTTAGTCTTGAATTTTCGTAGTTTTGAAATTTGAATACAGTGTTCATCTTCGTAGTTGACTATTGAGTTCAAACGGAGGCATTGTGGTTCGTCTATTTATTGCAATTCTCTCTCTGTCCCTTTTCTCCCCTTTTGCATGTCCATTTTTGTTGATTTTTTGGCCTAGAATGGACGAAGAGGGTTTGAATATTCCAGGATTTTGAGGCGGAAGGATAACACAGTTACGGTGATATATACGGCGAATAGTTACATGTTTTTAGTATGCTTCTTCAAGTTTGTGTATCTCAAAATTTTGGTAAACAACCTAATACAAATTTTGGTGCAAAGACATGACCATTTGTTTCTCCGTCTGTAGTGAAAAGCATTCAGTCCAACGAAACGTTGGAGCTTTGCAAAGAGGCCAGAATTAACACTGGAGTCAAGGTTGATTCTTGGTCTAGAATGGACGAAGGGGGTTTCAATTAACATTTTCTGCCAGGTTTTGGTAAATAGACACGATTTTAAGGCGAAAGGATAACACGGTTATCAAATTGGTTACGGTGATATGTACGACGAATTGTTACATGTTTTAGTATGCTTCTTTACGTTTGTGTATCTTAAAATTTTGGTGAACAACCTCATACAAATTTTAAAGCAAAAACATGACCATTTGTTTATCTGTCTGTAGTGAAAAGCATTCAGCCCAACGAAAAGTTGGAGCCTTGCAAAGAGGCCAGAATTAACATTGAAGTCAGTGGGGAAATTAATGGTGGTCTGCATCCAGACAGGGACTCCTAGAGTTATGTCCCTTGTTAGCAGCCCAGAGATTACACTCCTCGTTGAATCTTACTTTATATAACTGTGCAATGAAAAGGTCTATTTTCCTATTAATTCTCAGTTTTATACTTCTGCATTATGATTTTGTAAATTCATAAGCTCACCCTCTATTTATTTCCAATAACATTATAGATTTTGTGCGGGGTTTGAGACGAACCTGACAATTCCTTCACGAGATACAGACGTTTTAAGTACAAGTCCAAATATTATTTGATTGATCTACTTTCTTGTTGAGAAATAATGTATTTTAAAATAATAAACAGCGTACACTAATGGGCTGACCTATAAAGAATTATTGTTACATGTTAATATTGCGAATAACAATTAAATGTAATGATGCGTGTAATTAATTTTACGCTGAACTAATTGTTGTGTTATGTGATCGCATTTCGAGAGAACATCTCTCATTAAAAATGTATCTTTGGAAACATTTCAAAGTGTTTTTCCACGAGAAGTTCTGGTAGTTTTGTCTCTAGACAAAATAATTTCTTTTACCGGTCTCAAATTTGTCGATATCTCTGTTTAAATGATTAAGATTATCAGACCCGATCGTTCTCATGTTTACTATTTTACTGCAAAGGCAGCTTTTGTTATGTAATTGAGCACATCTTGAACCAAAAGATAATTGAATTAATATCACTTTATTTGCCAAAGACATGGTGGCTTAAAATCAATTGGTTTCAACGTGAAATCTAAATAGCCAAAACTTTAGTTGTAATTGATCGGTTTGAATAATATTTGGGTCAAAATGTATTTGTGAATGTGTTTGGTATTAAACTCTTATTAAACCTTTATTCTGTCAAACGAGAAATCCGTCCATTCTAGTTTTGTTTATATAGTTTATTCGTTTCTTGTTTTAAACTTTCCACTGGGTACAGCCCGGGCCATTTCCCCCGTACTTATTAAATTAAAACACCGGATGTGACGTTATGGGTTAACTGTCAGACACTTTTATAAACAAAGTTGATAAATGCACCAAGTAAAGTTGTTGGGATAATTATAACGAAAATATCTGCATTTCGGGTAGAATATTTATGATACTATTT